CTCATCAAAGAAGGCAAGGCACAACGATTTTGGGTCCAGGAGGGACTTGTTTACACAAAAGGGAATAGGATCTATGTTCCCCGAGTGGACAATTTAAGGCGTGAACTCTTAAAAGAGTGTCACGATTCCCTTTGGGCTAGACACCCAGGCATTCACAGAACGTTGGCTCTCGAGTGGACAACTGGCCGAAGATGGGGATTGATGTGGAGGAATATGTTCGAACATGCCTTACTTGCCAACAAGACAAGGTGGAGCAGCGGAAGCCGGTGGGACTTTTGGAGCCGTTGCCCGTACCAGAATGGCCGTGGGAGAGCATTTCCTTAGACTTCATATCAAGCTTGCCACCTGTAGGGGGACTTGGATCGATACTCGTGGTGGTCGATCGGTTTTCAAAGTATGCAACTTTCATTGCTACTCCCCTACACTGTTCAGCTGAAGAGGCGGCCAGACTGATGATGAAGGATGTAGTGAAGTATTGGGGAGTCTCACATAATATCATCAATGATCGAGACGCTCGGTTCCTGGGACGATTCTGGACCGAGCTATTCAAATTGTTGGGGTCAAAGTTATACTTCTCTACAAGCCTCCACCCCCAGACGGATGGCCAGACTGAAAGAATAAATTCGCTCTTGGAGCAGTATCTCCAGCACGACGTGAGTGCCAATCAACGAGATTGGGTGAAGCTGTTGGACATCGCCCAATTCTCCTACAACTTGCAGCGGAGCTCTGCATCCAACAAGAGCCCCTTCGAAATTATCACAAGACAACAACCGTCGACTCCGCACACTATGACAATTGGGTATACTGGGAGTAGTCCATCAGCCTATCATTTCGCAAAGGAGTGGCATCGAAATGCAGATATTGCGCGGGCTTACTTGGAGAAGGCGGCGAAACGGATGAAGAAGTGGGCTGACTTGGGAAGGCGACCACAAGAGTTCAAAGTTAGCGATTTGGTGTTGGTAAAGCTCCAACCAGCATCACTCTAATTCTTCAGGAACAGAGTCCACAAAGGATTGGTGCGTAAGTATGAAGGGTCATTCCCAATTATCAGCATGGTAGGCAATGTCTCTTACAAGTTGCAGCTACCGACGTGGTTCAAAATTCACAACGTTCTTCACGCCAGCAACCTAAAAGCCTATCATTCAGATCCGCAAGATGCTTCCTGAAGTGTTCCAACTCGGCTACCTCCCATCACAGCCTCCTACGAGAAGCGAGTGGAAACCATTCTGGCGGATCGCAAGATAAAGCTACCCAACGGAGCGGAGCAGACAGAGTACTTGGTGAAGTGGCGAAAGCTTCCCTGAACTGAAGCCAGTTGGGAGCCTGAAGATGCCCTGCGACATGAAGAAGAAGTCATCAAAAACTACCAACAAGCGTCGACGAGGGCGTCGACAGTTTAAGTGGGGGAGAATGTCACGAACGGTCGTCGCGCACCCGTAACAACTCCGTTCAACGAACCATTCGTCGCTCACACCTGCATGTACAGCTGCTTGACAGCATATTTTCTCTTGGTTTTGGGTCATTTTGCTTGTAAATATGTAAGTTCGAACAAGCTGCAGCGTTGCAAAGCGACCGCTCACCGAACAGAGCAAAACAGCCCCAAAACAGCTCCGTTTTCGCGTGCCGCGGGAGGTGAGCGGAGAACTGCCTCCGCTCACCAAAATGTCAGCCATCTCAGACCCCAGGAACCCCCCGGGTGGCACAGGGCTGGATGGGGCTTTGGTTATATACCGGGCGTTGAGATCTCTTTCGCAAGTTCGCACGTGACCTTTACGGGAACTTGTCTTTGCGCCCGGGACCAGGTGAGCGGTTGTTTGTGGGCTTGCAGCTGTTCGTTCATCCTTGAAAGCCTTGTTTTTCTCCCTCTCCCTCTTTTCTCTTGTGCACACAGGGTGTTCGTCGAATTGCTTATAAAGCTTCCCTTTTCACGAGACTTCGGGACTTGTCCGTTGCTCGTTCTTTCGAACTAACTTCTTTCTCTTTTACAGGTCCTTCGGGACTTGCGAGAGGTTACAAAGTGGGCTGATCCTTGCGGAGCAAGATCGCAAGGGCGAAGCGCGACTTAGGCAACGCAAGCTAAGTTCGCGTCTTTGGCCGCAAAGGTGCCTCACGCCTTAGGCAATTCCAGCTAAGGTCGTGACAATGCGGCTAATACCTTTTCACTATATGACTAATACCTTGACATAAGACCGAATTACCTAGGCATTGTCGTATCTCGAATTCGACATACCACGACCATAATTAACTTCAAGAGAGACACACTACTTCCCCATAATCAGCGTTAACTATGAGAGTAACGGCGTTAGGAGCTTACTATTAAAGGGGCTCATAGATTGAAATCAAGTGAGTTCAATATCGATTGAAATCAACTTGAGACCCATGTGGAAGAATGACCTCAATTGACTCGGAATCAATAATTGAGTTAGATATTTTTTGTGATCTATATGGTGAGCACATGATGTCCAGAAAGAATCGACAGATGTAATCGAAAGATGCACTACCAATGATAGAATCGACAGATACAATCTTACGATAATCTTAAGATAACCGTAAGATTAGATCCACAAAAATCCACAGTTAAATCCACAAAAATCTTGCCTAGATGTGAACACATATCAAACAAATTAGCAAAATGATGCCGATCAGTGATGATCTTAATTAGATTCCTACAAATCAAGCCAACATCTGAAGGATGAAAAGGGTGTCTGAATCGGCTCGAAACGAAACCTTGATTGTTATGTAACATTGCTTTTGGCCCATTACATCAATTAGCATTTATGATATATTTATTGTGAGAAAGTGTGGATATGCAAATCTCACTGTGTACATATGATTTAAGATTATGGAGAAATCCAACTACGATAACAACCCAACTCCAAAAAGGACATAAGCAAATATGACTAAGAATAGAACAAAAATAAAAATAAACGAATGAAATCCTTGCATGAGTTTAAAACAAGATCACATATCGAATTATTGATATAAGTATGATAGAATGTTGGCAAAATCGGGCTACAATGTACCACATATGCTTATGATTCAGGTTTTCTTCCCAAACTCTTTTAGCTGAATAAGATTGTCAAGCATCAACCCGAACTTCCGATTTCGATTTGTGATCCTGTCGTATCCATCTTCGAGTTAAATGGCGATCATCAAGCAGCAACTTTCTTTGAGGTCACGGAATTGACAATGATGGCAAACTCTGGTCCCTGCACAAACATGTGAATGTTGGAGTAATTATACAAATAGCTTTGGATTAATTAATTTCTGGAAGGAAAATTCAATATACATATCAGTACAATCTCCTAACTTTTATTAGATTGTGTATGACATGAGGCTTTTAGAGTTATATATGACTAATCATAGAGATACCAAAGCTAATCGAAGTCCTAATTAGAATATGCACCACACAGACTAACCAAGTAAAAATTGCCTTTGGCCACAACAGGATGTATGAAGAAAAACACAAGCAACCTCCTGATTGATGATCACAGATACGATTTTGTGCAAACTAAACAATGTGTCCAAACTCAAACACAGATAATAAAAAGCATAAGCTGCAGCACTTTTGGGCTAAAAACAGCATTCAAGTTGAATTTGCGTGAATGGATCTTGAAAACTTAGATCAGCAGAAGCTAGGAATATGATATCATAAGTTATATAACTCAAAAGAGGAAAAACAAAGTTACTTGTCATTCTTAAAAAGATGAAAAAAATGCAAACAAAAAGAAATTTTTGAACTAGACCGCATGCATTTGTCTCATAGAAGATTGAACTTGGTCTTTAATATTCCATCTGAGAACCATGTTCACTGGCAAAACCAAATTTTGTTCCCAAACAAGTTAATAATGTATAACATGCTTTAACTGTTCATCTACTGATTTCTGCCTTCGAACTTCAGAGCATGGATACCAGATATTATCTGTAGAAAAGAAAGATATCACTTTATATGAGCATGACCAAATATTCTTACTCAGATCCCAGTTTTTATCATTCTAACTAATAGGTTTTACTGATACATGCATCAAGAGGTGATGATGCACACAAGAAAAATATTTTCAGTTGCCATGATTACATCATACTTGCACAAACCTACATTTAACTTTATAGGAACTATTTTCAAAGAATGGCATGCTTCCAATAATTGTTAGATCACTCCATGTCGTATTAAATGATACTCAGTACAGTAACTATCTAATCAGATTTACATTTTAAAGTACTAAATAGCTTCATACATTCAGCAACTAGTATATGATATTGGACAGCTAAACCTGTAATATATATGCAACTTTTCTGAAAGATTTTGATTTAAGTTTGATTTCATATTCTGTTCTTCTAAGCATGAAGAATTCCACTGATTCCCAGCATTCATGTTCTACCTCTGTTGATTTCATCCACACTTCTTGCCTCGAAAGTTATCCTCTGTTGAAAGGTTAATCCACATCATATATCCTAAGAGATGTTATCAGAAATCTTTAAATACCCAGATTTTTCCTATGCCCTCCATTGACATACACAAAATACATGCCTGCGCCTTCAGGCAAGCACAAAGGCAGTAATGTTCAAATATGTATAGATGTGAATATATCAATGACTTAATGCAGGTCACAACACTAAGAAAAAAGGTTTAAACATTAACCTCAAAAATTTATAACACCGACAGACAAACAAGGTCTGCACATACTATTTAATTGCCAACTCATAAAGGCTGAAGCAAATGCCATATCTGCACATATTGCAAGGTTTGGTGAACATAGATTATAGAAATGCTTAATTAAATTTCAGAAGTGCCATTTTGAGGAATAAGAATATTTGTAATGAAAGCATTAAGTTTTACTGGTTCTGACTGCAATTATAGAACTGCACTTAGCTTATGAATGTAGCGACAAAATAGTATTATCTGCAATTATAGCACAGCACTGCAACGATCTGTGCGTGGGGACAAATAGTAGTAGTTGCATCATAGCTCGTGAATGTATTATTTGCAAGTTATTGATTAGGTAGACCCATAAACAACTCCAGTTATCTGCAGTTGCAACTATTACCTTATAATAAAATAATTATATCCCAGATTGCAACTTCTCCCACATATCTTCCTAAAGATGTTAAGCTTTCCTAAGAACAGAATAGCCTCTTATTGCTAAAACCTTCAAAAAAGTGCTTCATGGAGTAGTTTGTTCGACAAAAACTAATTTAGAAATCCTAAATTACATAATCTACCCAATGGTTAGAACCAATGGGAACCAAGATGTATTTCACTAAGCAAGCATGCGGGAGCAGATAAATTTCTTCTGAACCCAGGTATCAAGCTCTATAATGTTAACTCCATATCAGAGAATCAGTAACTATGAATGTGTCAGCAAACAAAATTGCAGCACGACAACAGCAAAGTTAATGGTACCTTTAGAGAGGCACCTCCAACAAGAAATCCATCAATATCTTCTTGTTTAGCAAGTTCTGAACAATTGTTCCCATTCACAGAACCTGGAACAGGCCATGACAGTTACTGTTAGCAATATGAATTATCCAATGCTCAAGAATCAAATGAATTAGAAATTCCTTTAAAAAAATCTCTCCAGCTTACAGAATAAAAGTTCCTTATTGCAGCCCAAAACTGGTCCACAAAAATGTTTACCACAAAATGGTCATGTAAGAAAATCAATGTTGTAAAAAGAAAGAATAATGGCAATCAAACTTAATCAATCAGGTTAGAAGTTGTCAAACAAATATAGTACTTTCACAAATGCAAAATCTGGTACCTTTAATCTAATTACATGAAGGAAAAGAAACCCCAAACATGCTAATATTCTATTTTATAATAACTTAGACAAAAATATCATGAAAAGTTTGCGCAGAAAGATAAGGCCACTCTCCCATTTTCTCTAGATGTAGAACCAGCTATTATAAGTACAATATTATGCAAGTAGAAGCAGTGTTCTGCAATAGAAAATATCAATACTGAAGACTTCTTGCCCATGATTGATTAGCCATGGAAAGCATGCAAGCAACAAAGATGATCGTAACTATTCACGACCTTAAAGGACTTTGGACAATGAAGATGATGATAATTCAAGTCAAATGAAGTATTTGATGAAATAGCTGAAAGGAGAGGAAGTGCTATGTTTGTATGTAGGTGCTAAAGACTTCCATTTACAATAACCAGGTATTTGACTTACTTTTTTTATTATTGTCTAGTCAAATTTCAAGCACTAAAAGGAAAAAGAAACCACAAATTCTACCTAAGTACCAGAAGTACCAGTATACCAACAGAAAGATGAAATTATAAGCTTTGGCAAAGTTTTCTCTGTAAAGACCAGTAATGGTTTCCCAGTCTGGCGGAGAAGTGAAATTTCACATTTCAAATGTAAAAAAATCACAATCATACTGGATTCATTAGATTTGTGATAAGTGAAATTTGTCATGCAGATAAAAAGCTATAAAGAGTACCTCCATAGATGATACGAGTGGAAGAAGCAACTTCAGCAGAGACATTCTTCTTAAGCCAATCACGCACAGCTAGGTGCACTTCTTGAGCCTGCTGGGGAGTAGCCACTTTTCCAGTGCCAATAGCCCATACAGGCTCATATGCGATAACAACATCCGTCCAATTCGATATGCTATCTGTGATAAATGATTAAGGGCATTGAGCATAATTCTGCAGCTGTGGCTCCTACTTTTTTTTTCCCATAAACAGCACAAATGTGTTGTGTTGTTTGGGTAAAGTATAAGTTGAACAATACCTGCAAACGCTTTCATCTGCTGGAAACAGACATCAAAGGTTTTTCCTGCTTCTCTCTCTTCAAGTTTCTCTCCTATACAAGCAATTACCTTAAGATTCTGGCTCAAAGCATATGCAGCCTTCTTCCCAATAAACTGGAATCAAAAACTTTTATTACAATAATAAACTTGAGATAAGTGAATTCCTTAACCTATTCAGTAAATTATCCAGAAGATTATAAGCATAGCTTATATTCAAAAATCATCTAAAATGGGTACCTGGTCATCCTCACCAATAACGTGTCTGCGCTCAGAATGGCCTAGAATAACCCACTTGCAACCAATATCTACCAACTGCTCTGCACTGTAAATCAAAATCGACATAAGTGATTATATGACATGTTCAGCTGATAAAACAAAATAAGATTCTGAAAACAGAAAGGTAAGGTTGCAAGCTTCTCTGCATGTGCAAGATGTTACTGTCCAAAGACAATATTCAAAAAGATATAGGCTGTCAGCTACAATAAACAATCACATTAATATTGGGATCTTTTCCAATATGACCACTAAAGTCAGTTCACAAAAGGCTAATGTATTGAATATGAAATACAGAAAGCAAAGACTATGTATTGCAATCAAAGATATCTCAGATTAGAATATAGCACAGAAGAGCACTACCTTATATGCAAAGGTAGTATGACGGGAAGATTAGGAATTGACATGCATAATATTGTATGAATAAATGAGAACTCATATCTTTTTATGCTCAGCAGAAATCTACAGGTTCAGGTAGTTGAACTGATAAGAGGCTGAATTCATATATTATCACTGGTGCCAACATACTAACTCAGTGCAGGCGTGTTAATGCTCTTGGATCAGGAATCGAGTGTGGAACATTGTAGATGAAGATGCTTCGATTTAGTTGAAAATAGTTGAAGCATTATGAGACTTGCTTAGTTGCAGATACTTAAAGACGGAGCATATATGTGGCTCCAAATGTGTTAGTGTTATGCAAGTCCATGAAGACTTCACTATTATAATTCAAGACAGTCTCATGCAATAACAGGATGTGAGATGCTGCTATACTATTATTCTTCAAGACTCATTCTCAAGCAATAGCAGGATGTTAGATGCTATTGGCAATTGTTCTACCATCTTTCGTTGAAATATTGAGGGAAAAAACTTCATTTGCCCGAGTACATCCATTTCCACTAAAACTTCATCATCTACATGGAAAGCTATAATAGCAGCTTCCTTTTAGAGAGTTCAATCAGTACATGCATCCTAATAAAGCCTGAGACAACCAAACAACCTATGTGTCAACAATAAAAACACACTCACCTAATAAAAAGAAAGAATAGTAGTTAGCACCTGCAATAGTATCTAACTTTTCATTTGGAAGAATCATGATCCACTATTTTAATATTCAACAAAAGATCATCATAGTTGTTTAATTGTCACATGAACTTCTAATGTGTGATAATTTCATGGGTAAAATTAATAAATACCGTGCTTTTAGGCATCATGAGTTTGTTATTGTGCAAACTTGTTAACAATCTATTCTCATGTAGGGGCAAGGCTCGATCTGACCCTTTAACCAACAATAGTGGGTGCATCATGCACTAAGGTTCTCTTCTTACTCTCTATTTATAGTACCTCAGGAATAGCTATCAATCTTCGAGCCTGCTATGTAGTAAAATACCGTAAGTGAGGATGTCACTATGTATAAGTAGTTCCTTATAACCCATTTCATGAAAGTTCATTAATCTAAGTCCATGATTTAGACTTTCCTCTTTTAAAATTAAATCTTCACACATGTAACAAAGAAAATACATTCTTAAACATGAAATTAAGTAAATCTGTAGTGATTGTTATTCTATTAAATAAATGATAATTGCGCATAGAAACCATCAACCGAAAATTTTCAGTGGTGGTGACCTGATTTCTCCTGTGAAAGCTCCACCTTTCCCAATCCAGGAATTCTGAGCAGATATCTCAATACGATCGGTCAATGATTGCTTGACCTGGTCAATATAGATATATGGAGGCGCTACAACAATATCTGCATTATTGCCATGTCAAATTAGAGTAAGAACATTTCAAAATCACATAGTAGAATCTGCAGTAAGATAATTACAAATCAGACACTTGGAAATCTCTTTCATCTCAGTATAGTTCACATGGAACAGACTAAAGTATTGGCCTACATCTGGTAAGGGAGGCGCAAGTATATGTATTGTGTTGCAGATCATGCAAATGAAGCATGTAGTCACATAACAAGTTTGCAAAGCATACAATTGTATAATGAGGATGATTAATAATCTCACCTACATCAGTTTCCAACTTTGCATCATTCAAATCAGCAACAAGTTTGGTAATTGAATCCCTCGTCCCATTCTAGGAAAACAAAAAGAATCAAGTCATAAGTTATGTAATATAGTATAAGAAAAAGATACATCAGAAATACAATATATGAAGAGGTAACTGAGAAAACTTGAGTCTTGGAACCAATGATGAACTTTAAGAGTCGAGATATTAGCATCAATTTTAGAGATTGTGGTTAATTTCTGAGAAGGGAGATTGGTTACCATCAGATCCAAGTTATCATATGTTCAAAGATTTTGTCAATTTCCAACAAAGCCAAGATGCACTAAGAAACAATGTCATACATATAACAAAACAAAGACAAACCACTTCAGTTTAATGGTAAATATCCAAGAGAACAAAGGAAAATACCAAATAACATTTGTCAGTTTAAGAACTCTAAAATCCTGTTAACATACAAGAATGAAGAAAGAACATATACAAACATTGCATAAAAAAAATGAAATATCCATAGAAACTCAAGCCATAAAATTTACATTTTACTCCATGAAAATAAACCTACTCAAATTCTACATATTACTGAGAGAAATATTAGAACTTGCAGAATGACAAATACACAAAAAAAGAAAACTGCCTCAGCTATAGACTACACAACTACAGGTATCTGTAGCAAAAACTCATACAAGACTCACTAAAGTTAAATCAGCCATTCTAGTGTAAAAACATGAACTACTTTTCTCATGCCTAGCTTATACAGCCAAAGTTGATTCCAGAAGTCATGATATAGTGATTTAAATGTCACAAATGTCACTTTGACACTGCAAATAGTCATAATTCAATATTGGAGGATATCTATGATGATACATAAGGCTACATGGACCTAGTACCATTAAATTGGGCTTCAGTACTTTAAAGTTTAAACCACATAGCAATGGGATTGAACCAGATCATGAGAAGAAAAACAGAGCCTATTTAGTACTAGGTATTACAACAAGGCTTAAGTTAAAAAGGAGCACTATGGATGACGCTAGAGATAGTGTGGAGTCACCCGAATGCTGGTTTTGGATCTTGGCGAGGCCATCCCTTCAAGTATGGGAGATTAGCTCCACATCCACAACTGATGTGGGAGGATGATTATGATAATATAGAGATCATTGACCAAAAACCATTAACTTGGACATCATAGTGCAGTTTGGGGCCTTTGGCCCACGTGATTTTATGCCTATCAAGTTTATGGGTCAATTTTAATGTCAATTTAGGTTGTGACAGTCATAGTTGGCCACACAAAGTCAAGAAAACTCACAACCATTACGATCAAATTATACCTGGTGTTAAGTCAATAGCATGTAATCCTTTCCAAGTGAAGATATTAAACTAAAGTTAAAATATGCTATTCAAATCAAACTCCGGAAATGATGCTTCTACAGACTTCCCGTCATTCTTTATAGATCCATGTCTTCTTTTACTGTATATGTCCACTCAAGCCCTATTATATGTTTTGCTAAGAAAGGGTCATATATCTTATTCTTCATGAATCTCTAAATTTGCTTAAAATCATGTTTTACACCAGAAATGGAACATCTAAACAACAACAACAACAAATGAGCATTAGAGTTCCATTCAGGTCGCCTACATCGATTTTTTCCCACCATGAGTGCTATGTGAGGCAATCTTCCAAGTTAAACTAAGAGTAGCAAAATTTATTTTTCTTGCTTATAATAAAGTTTTCTTAAATATCACTTTGCTGCTTTTGCACCATAAGTCCTGATCAACTCACTTCGTAAAACCAAGACAAGTCTTCTCCAAGCATGTCCATATCACCTCAAATGATTTTTCCTCAATTGTATTGTCAACAAGATGGAATACTTATCCAAGAAGAAAAAAAAGCATGATGCATCCTATTCATGAATTTCTTGTGTTCAATATAAGATATTTGTATTACTTGATCAGTACTTCAGTAGTACACCAAAGCCTGCTTAACAAGACAGTTCTCTATCTGAGAGTCAACTTTTGATTTTTTTTTTTTTCCCGTGTATCATTCTCCATGACATCCTACTGTTATAGCTTGGACTATAAAAATAAGAAAGCAAGTTAGAACGAACTATGGTAATGAAATATAGCTTGGACTACAAGAATATAAACCTTGTCACGTCTTAGGCTTAAATTTTTAGATGGAATGGCAGGGGTCAAAAAGAGAGCAGGAGATCCTCTGTTCAATACTCACACAGCATAATTTACATCTTCATTTAATACAAGTTGCATGTAGTACACATGTGAAGGGGAGTATTAAAATGTAACTGTGTAGAGTCAGTCCCATCTAATGGGCATAGCTTTTTGATGGATTCGCAGGTACCAAAAAATTGTAAGAATGTCAAGTAAAAAAAATCATCCTTTTGCATTCAGTTTAGCATATAATTTCTCAATCAGAACGTCTACAAAATCAGCCTTCCCATGCTTCTAGAGATTCTCCTGATCTATTATCTAGATGACAAGACTCATAAAAGTCAACATATATAACTTAAGATTATAGTCTCTAAAGAAAATGCTATCCCTGATCAATATAGACAGCATCTAAAGTCAAACACAAAAGTAGGGCAGCAAATTGGTGATGATCATGAAATTTTATTGGCATAAATACCAAGAAGTAACAACTATGAATACCAACAAGTAACAACCATGAATGGAGGACTGATTAGTTTCTAATGTGTTGGATGTGTTTGAGCAAAGCTTTATATTATCTAGAAGTAGAAATCATATACTGGTTACTTCTTTTCGGGAGAAACAAATCCCATTTAGAAAATAAATTGACAACCAGTTTATCAGACTTGATAATGAAGGTAAAACACAGTACTACAAAAAAAGTAGTAAACTTAGTTGTCATAGATAAACAACTCTTCTAATTCAACTTCAAACTCGCAGAACTTTAATGTTTATTTGACAAACGATCTCTTACTAAAACTTCCTGTAATTACAAGTCTACTAACAAGGCAAATAGAAATTATTATACTTCACTTTTCTGGTTTAAAGCCCTACCCAGCATCCTTGTTCTATAAAGTTCAGGCTAGTTATATATGCTCCAAATGGTGTGTAATTTAGTGTCAAAATTCATGACTAAATTGCCGTGATGTTAACCATCACAACTGCAAGACTATTTATCCAATGATCTCCTGTCGTTGATTATTTAAAATTATCCTGATGGGGAAAAGCTGCCACTCTTAAGAACAAGAACAGATTCTAAAAGATGCACAGGAAATGAAATTTTGACTGTAAAACATTATGTGTAATCTCACAATGAACTGTTGGCATTGACCCCAAGAAAATGGAAAAGAAAACAGAACAAAAAAAAAAGTGAAATGTTTGAACTTACACATTTCCAGTTGCCTCCAACAAAAAACTGCAAGCACATGAAAAGCAAAATATCAGATAGAACACAGAATAGTAAGAGTATCACAAATCCATAAAGAAAATCTTCAATTTGTGCATACATTTAGACCTGTACTCTGTGTTGCATGTTGATGCCTGTTTACTTAAATAATGAAAACGAAATATATATATTTACAGGAAAGAAACAGATATATATAGCATTAACAAAATATCTCATTTTCTTGTATACGTGATCAGTAGTTTGCTATCTATCACCATGTACAAGTATATAAGAGCAAGAAACATAAGATACCAATAAATATCCCAAAAACTGCAAAAGATTTACCAAAGAGATAGACATAAAGAGGTAGTGGCTCATCTAACAACACAACCCTCTAAGTCCAGCAAAATTGAATCCTAATAGATCCACACTGTCCATCCTGTACATCATTGCACCACCTTTCACCGATTGATAGCCACTAAAAGGTCCTGTCATGAAATTTCTACCATGAAAGTAACATCACCCCCCACTTTCCCTCTTTGGCAAACTATGTACTTCATAGAGATATACTGATTCAGTACAAGAAAAGCCCATGTACATATACCTAGCAAATGAGCACCCACAATAAACATATACCAGCAGCATTCTTTAGTGGGCAACTAAATTCATCGTCGCAAAAGTTCTTGATGAACTATAAAACAACTAATGGCCAACATATGGTCATAAAGTTCAACCACATCATCATATTGTATGCAAACGCACCTAGTATCAAATGTACATTCGCACAAACACATTCTCATAACTGAATTCACAAATCTAAAAGACAGACATGGATTTAAAAATCTCTAAGTAAGAGGTCCTGACAATAAGCTAAAACCATCAAGGTAACATTTAACTACAGCTTAAGAATATCTATCGCATTCGATACCTTACCTTATTTTTCACTTCGAAGGAGTATATTATTGCTACACGAATTCCTGTCCCCAGAAGTAATATAAAGAAAAAGTGTTACTAAATATTGGTACTCGTTGGGTCATCGCATAGACTATATCAGCCATCAAATTATAATACTCAGACTAGTTCCCAAAATTAGATCTTTCCTTGATTTCCAACGTAAATAAATCCATTCTGCTTCGACATTCCTCCCACTCAAAAAAATTAGATGCTTCAATCAAGCAATATTTACGTGATGATGGAAGAGGCGGGACCTTTCCGGTGCCGGCCATGGCCACGACGCCCCGAGGAGGGCGGCAGGAAGCAGGGAGGCGGATCCGGGAGTGAACGCTGCGGAGGAAGAGGGCGGTGGAAGGGGCAGCCTCGCGCGAGAGGACCTCCCGGCGGAGCCCCGAGAACTGCGATGCCAGAGATGACGCCGTCGCCGCCATTGCTTTGCTTCCCTCTCTCTCTTCTCTCTCTCTCTTTCGATCGCCTCACCAAACCCTTCCTCTCGTGTTTTGCTTTCCCACTCGGGAGATGTTTGGTGGAGAACACAAATTATCGGATAACGCTGAAGCCCCACTCTTTCTCCGACACGTATATCCCGGGATTTACTGATCGAAGAATCCAACGATCCGACACGTAATTGCTGTTATGGTCACGTTAGCAGAGAACCAATTCATGAGATCCGTAACCCGACACGACTACAGTTAACGGGATTGTGAGGGTTTACTTGTGTTCTTATACGTGCGTAGAGCTGTTTGGTATTCGAAATCGTGGAGCGGCTCTACTGGTTCTTGGATCGGGGCCCCGAAGTGAAAAGTGTCAAGTTATGCGTCCCAAGACACCACCCCAACGTATTCCTGCTCCCTCAGAAAGAGAACCATATCTGCCACGTGTTACATGGACCCACCATGTTTCGATTGGGTCCGTACTCCGGAGTAGATTATGCATCATACGAATCCCACAAATTTTAATTCGTACCTGCCGTATGATTACCGATGCACCATGTGGGTCCCAGAAAAAGTCAGAACGCAGAGTAGGGTACGTGACGCGGGTAAACGATCCCGTGGAACCACGACGAGGCTCGTAGACGTCTTGCGCCAAGATTCGGATTATTAGGATATCAAGATCCCGAAATGGAACCCTGATTCGAGTTAAAGAAGCTTCCTTGGCTTAACCGGCCAAGCTCGATCATGAATATAGAATACCATGATTTTGGTACGAAATTAAGCTTAGCACCAAAATGCTCGGATTTAATATAGTGAGTAAGCACAAGTGTGTTTAGGGTTTGAAATATTAGACCAATGGTCCTTTAAAAAAAGATAAATTTTAATTGTTATATGCATTCTAATTTAAGCATTGCCGGGACTTTATTACACAAATTATACCACCAATTTCAACCTGTTTCCAACATCAATCTTGTAACACAAGTGATCTCTAACCTAGTTGGCTTTGCAATATCCATTAATGAGACAATCAATCAAATCAAATGTTAATAATAGATAACATATAACGATTAAGACATAGATGACAAGTTTCTAGTTTCGAAGAGAATTTATAACTAATACTTATCAGATAAATAATAATCAAGACACTTATGGTTTCATATAATTATTAGAAATAGAATGAACATCGATCCTATCACATTATTGTTGGGTCATTGATCGAACCAACCGATTAGATCCTAAATTCAATAATATTAGAGAACAAATTAAGAGGATTAGAGACAAACGAATATGACAAGGTTTTTCTTCCATTTTGTTGCTATGTCAAAAAAGTTTTATTTATTCTTGGAAAAAAAATTAATTATAATAAGTATGGAATGGACGACATTTTAGTTATTTGAATATTTAAATGATTTAAAATTTAAATTAAACCTTTGGAAAGTTTAATTTCCAAATTTTCAAGTCCAATGAATCGATCTTCTCATTCGAGTTTGGTATCCTGTTCCACCACGACGTGTCATATCCCATCGGCAACTCTGTTTCCTCACCTACTCTACGGCATCGGTTAACCTAAACTGCTTCGCTGTCATGATTCAAGAGTCACTCTCTATAGTATACACAACCAGCTACTGTCTCCTTTATTGGTGGATTTGTGGACCCACCCACTGGTTAATCGAAACGGGTAATACGAGAGAGTTGGGATAATTAGTTTGTGTCATAGCATTGTGAGCGAGTTACCACCAGCTCCGACTGTAGCGACTTATCGACCGTTGGATTGAACATATAACGAATCTTACAGCGGCATATTATATTCCTATTCTTGCTCGACAATGATTCGTATGTCGAAAGCGGCTTCGAAGAGCGCCTCTCCTCTATATAATTACTCTCTTCCCCTCGCTCTCCCTCTATCGGTGCGTCTGTCTTCGCCGTCGTTGTATCTGTCGCTCCCTCGCTCTGTTTTGAGTTCTGTTCTTCTCTTCTTTTGCGGTGTAATTATGGAGAAGGGTGAAGAAAGCGGCGCCGGAAACAAACCCGCCGCGGACGAAGGCAGCCCTCTCCCCATCGCCACTCCGACCGCTCCGCCGCCTCCCGAGGATGCTGCGCCCCCTGCCCGCGCGCCCTTCACCAGCCTCAGCCAGATCGACGCTGACCTCGCCCTCGCCCGCATCCTCCAAGAACAGGTGCCCGATCATCCGATCTCCTTCTCCTGCTCCCCCATGTTGAATCGGATCTTTGTCTTATTGCTGGGGATGTGGGTTCCTCCTGACGTTCTTTTGTTGTCGGCAATTGGGTGCAGGGGACGGCATACGCGATGCTAATGATGGACGGCGATGACAACGATTACTGGAGCTCCGACTATGATGAGGAAGGTGGGGGAGACGAGCTAGATCACGTGGCCGAGGGCGGCGGGAGCATCGAGGGAAGCGATGACGAGGTGGACGCCGCCTATTTTGAGAACGATGAGGCATACTCGAGGGCCCTGCAGGACGCGGAGGAGCGGGTACTGGCTGTTCGGTTGATGGCCCTTGCAGGATTGAATGAATGTGAGAGCTTGCTGATTACAGTTTATTGCTTTCTGTTGGCTTCTGGTTGCTCTGGAACATCAATTGACTTTTCCCGCTTGTCTTTCCTGGGTGCCAGATGATCATGGGGACCATGACAGTGGCTTTCAGGTAAGTTATCGAATTTTCTTCTTTGATATTACTACTTTCATTACTCGTTGAAATTTTATACACTTGATGATGAAGTACAAATTAGACAGAATCTGTAGATTGTTGTTTGCTAGCATTGTACAATATGCTTTTGGAGTTCTTCCACCTCTTTTATGCCATTTGGGTCATATCTCAGCTAGTATGATACTTGCTGCAATTCATTTAGTCATTCTGGTATTTTAATGTGTTTAGATCATCATTCTGTGAACAGATATGTTTCTGCCAGAAGCTTATTTTAGTTTGAAAAATAATCATTCTTAGTTTGAAGCTCTCCACGTTGCAGTGGTACGGCACACACAACTGAAAGTTGCTATGCTGACATCTAGTAAGATGCAAAATACTTGAACGTTAATATCTGTAGCCTCCGTTTGAAGGGTGAATGTGCGATAATGTTTGCATAACACATTATGAAAATCACTTTGCTGGAAGTTTATAATTATGAGAGAAAAGCTGGTTTCTTAAATCTTTGATATTTGCATCAAAATTGTCCAATGGACATCATTTAACTGCCAAATTCCAGTTCAAATGAAATTTTTAGGAGAACTAAGTGAAATGACATTAATTTTGATCCTGCTAACTGGACTTATGAAGTTGTCCTATATGTCACACAGGATGCTTGGCAAGATCCAGATGAATTCATGTATGAGGTAAGAGAATATTTCCCAAGAAAGTCTAAGTCTTTTCTTTGGAATTTTATTCACGCTGGTCTTTAATGCTTCTGCTTCTTTAGGAGCTAGTTGCACTCGGTGAGCTAGTTGGAACCGAAAGCAGAGGCCTTTCTGCTGATACCATTTCTGCTTTGCCTTCAGTGAGTTACAAGGCAGAAAGTGTGCAAGATGACAATGCTGAACAGTATGCATCCATATCCCTTTAGGCTTTTAATATCCTTCAATTTAACCTCTGATATTAATCTTCTGGTGACACTTAAATGAATTCCACAGATGCATTATATGCCGGCTGGAGTTTGAGGATGGTGATTCTCTGGTCTTGCTTTCTTGCAAGCATAAGTACCACCCTGACTGCATAAACAAGTGGCTCCAAATAAATAAGGTAATTTTCTAGAAAAATGATAGGGCTTTGTTGTCTTTTCATAATGCTTATGTTTTCACTTAGAATTTTTTGTATATCTTAATGAACTTAATAGTTCAAATTGTTTAATTGAAGGATCAACCTTGCATTTGTGTGCTTAAATATTACAGCTAGATTGCCCACTATTTTAATAACCATTTCTGTCACCAGCTTGATTCACTTTTTTTTTTTCAATTGATCATAGAAGATTTTTGCACTATTTGTTATTTTCTTGAGGTGTTCGTGGGATCCTTAGTTTCAGTTTTCATAGGTTTGCGCCTAACTATTAAAAAGAAGTATTAAACCATTAAAGTTCATTTTTTACTTCTAAGATTGGCTTCCACTTAACCACTTGTAGTGGAAAAGTAGTTTCCTGACAATTTGAGACCCTGATAGGCTTTTGTGAGACTTGGTTTTTTTTTTTTGCTGTAGAATTCTTTGGATTAACGGTTTGTTTTGGTTCAATTAGTTATATATTAATCCATCCATAATGTGTATGCCTCCTTGTACCTTGTTTTGTTTAATGCTTGCGAACTGATGTATTGCTGTATGTTTGAGGACTGAGGAATAATAGTTATTTGAGGTCATCTATTTTAGGTTATTGCCTTTCTAGCACTTCCAAAATGTCAAAGCTTCTTGGAACTAGATGTCTAATTATGCTTGCTGCTTTCAGAAATTGATTTAGAATCCAACGATTGTAATATGCTGAGGTTAGCACACCATTTTGTAATACAGCCTACGAATCCTTAAGAGTCACTTGTTGTATTTTAATGCCTGCTTTGACCAAAATCTAGTTTGGGGTTTGATATTTGTTCTTATGTTTCTCATTTTGGCCTATCTTGTATAGTTTAGCTCTAGTTTGATATTCAAGGATACAATTAGTTAATTGGCATACAGAACAATCAAGTTCTTTCTCAAGATATTGGACTGGTTAGCTACATTGGTAGAATCCTTGGTTGAAGTAGTTAAATCAGAAAGACCAAATTAAATGGAAAATAATGAACATGACAAGAATTGCATGAGATGGAAAGCCACATCCTTGAAACTTTCTTATTTGAGAAATATGAGTCATGATCAAGTTATTGATATACGAATAAAAAAGTCTTCTAGAAACTATGTTAAACAGCAGTTCTCATATGCTGATTAATTGCTTCAAAGTCTTCCGGAAACAATGTTGTCCATGTCATCTAACCCAAAAGATTCCATATTCTTAACCTATAATTTTGGTCTCCACCCTCACAATTGTTTCACAGCATCCACTCCTCACCTGATAGATTGGGCTAAACATTATGGATATAGAAAAGACGTCCAAGATGATTCGATAAAAGATAGAAAAGCTGCATCAGCATGCTGTGCCCTAGAAATCACTGAATCTAAATGAGCATAAAAATCATTGGATGATATTGTAGCTGCTACAGAAAACCTCTGTAACACTTCTGTTGGATCCAATATACGATGCATGCTCTTTTTTTTTCTTCTTTCCTTCGGAAAGTCTTTGTAAGAAACTAACCAATCTTATTTTATTTTCTCTTGTAGGCATGTCCTATGTGCAACACTGAGGTTTCTACTTCAGAGAACAAGCAAGACTGATATAATCCGATGATACTACCATCATCTTCTTGGATTCTTTTGAGGAGTTTCTTCTGTAGGAAAATTCAGTATAAATGCAATTGATTGTAATTCCGAGAAATAGAAATGTTGCATTATGTTGTTACCATTAGTTGCTATCCTCGTTGTACTAGACATGTTCTTCTCCAAAGTATGTGCTTAGAGTATGCTTTTTGTCAATTATGATGCTTAATAATTATTGCTGCATGACCTACGGATTACTTAATTCAATGATGATTATTTCTCTTCTGCGATTCTTCATCCTTACCTTCTTTTTTTTTTTTGGATCTGAGAACAAATTAAAAACTCGAAGTCTAAGTTTTTCGTAGGGACAATTCCTGCTGCAGTGAATGTTTTTGGCTTGTTCAGCTGTAAGGAATGCTATGCCATGCCTTGGGGTAAGCACAAGTCTTTGTGGAAATTTCCAAAGTTGGAAGTCTAGCTGTGTAGTGTATTTAACCCGAATAAGTTCGACATGACATATACTATCATCCAATAAACTTTGGTTAACTAGCAGTTAATTTAAGTTTAATTTTAAAACACTAATTCTGTTTTTTGTGCTGTTTCTTTTCTATGGATAAAGCTATAAATAGCTATAAATAAGATATGTAATGCTCATATATGTTTGTGTATTTTAATTCTATTCATATGTTATATAATATGTAGAGGGCTTATTGTAGATTTGACGATTTCATTTTGGTTGGTTTTTGTGGTTGTTTCAGGTTTGTAAATATAGGTTATGCAGTCATCACGTAGAGTCAAAACTATTCAGAAATAAACCATTCAGATAGTCATTTTAGGAGTTTTTAACTCCGCAGAGTAGTACAGAATATCAGCCAGCATAGCACCTAGGAGGCACTTGGGTGACACAAGGTTAGATGAGCCTTTAGGATAATGTCTAAGGTTAGTTCATTGTATTATTCCGGAGCAATGTCATATGGTCATTTGTGGGAATTTCTCACGATTAACCACTTTGGACTCTTTGTTACGCGACTATTCAAAACTTGTAAAGTTTATGTTTATAATTTGGATTGTCTATCAAATATTTGCTAAAATGGCTGCTTGTGGATCTCGAGTTAAACGTTTTCTCTAACCCGCCATCTCTTTTGTAAGTCCTAAGGGACTATAAGAGGTTTTGGGAAGGCTGATCCTTTGCAGACGATATACAAGGGTATCAAAAGACTGACGTAAAATCAACTAAGTCCGTGATAAATGACATAAGAGCAGGACAAGCACACTTCGAAATACTTGGTATGTAAATGTGGAGGATCTAACAATGTTGCGTTGAGGGCAACTTGCACACGTGACCATTTAGGAGAAACATGTGTTGAAATATAGGGAAATGAGTCATTTAGAGGAGCGAGCATCTAAGATTGACATTCAAAGAAATGGCCAACCCTTTGTGCTAGAGGTACTACGAGGACAAGCAAGATGGGAAGAACGTGTAGTGTATAAATATTGGGATGGTTGAGTTTGAACTGACTTAACATTGGCAACCAAACTTAACGATGCTCAAGACAAGCGGGATGCTTGACAAAGGATAAGACCATGTAAGATAGGATGGGTTGCTCGGCAACTCAAAGAGTTGTGCAAAGTTCATGGAAGTGAGAGGAATTATTAATTCAAATAATTTGATTTTCATACAAGGACTCATATGCAGACGATGGATTATTCGTGGCTCTCCCAAGATGACCAAAACTCGATGCTATGGAGAATTGAAACTTTCTATTTAGCATAGGAAGAATATGTTTATAAGAAGCTGAAGTGTACAGCGAGTTCAACATGAAGATTATATCAACGAGGCAAGATGACACAGAGGCAGATACTCTTGAATAATATGTCACAGTATTGCTATTCGAGTAAGTAATGCATAATGGAGATTATGTTGAGAGGGCAAAGACCAGGGTTTAGACAATGATGCATCAATTTCAGTGAAGTTAGTGAACTTCGGGAGCTATTAGGCAACAGACTATCCTGGAGCTATACTTCGTCCAGGTATGACCTGAGAGTGGGTGGGCAAAGGTTGCTTGCCAAAGGAGTAAATATATTTGGAGGTGACAGAGGCCTTGTGATGTGCTATAAAGGTCACACATGGAGATATTATAGTCTTATCCCACAAATATCATAATGCAATGGAGATGTCACCGGGAGGAGTCATAATGCAGTGGACCGTAATGGAACAGTTTGAGGTAATATAACACATATGTAAAAAATCCCATGAGAGACTAGATCAAACAGAGGTATAATCAGGAGTTATTGAGTGCTCCACTTCAGTAAACAACACAATGATAAGAAGGGCTATGGATTCAAAGAGTGAATGCTATGGTATTATAGAGACGAGTATTTCATGCATGCATCGAATTTTGCATCAGATGAAAGTCTTAGTCATTAGCATATAGAGGCTGTGTGCCACCGAGAGAAAATTTTGAGTGCAAGTACTAGTGAGTCCTATGGGAAGGCTTGATCATTCAAAGGTATGATCAAAGCGATTGAAGAGTTGGACTACTTCATAGCTCATATTCGCTTAAGGAAGCTCGACAAGTCAGAGGACAAAGTTAAGTAAGTGAACATTGTTACAAAGGAAGCAAAAGAAAATAAATTTGATGCAAGTCCTACAACATGATGACGAAAGTCATGCATGAGAGTTGTAATTTGTCTTTTTATAAACTAAGGGAAACTACTCGAAGAACATAAAGGTGTTAAAGCAAATAAACAAAAGGGGCAAAGAGGCGACGATGAGCCAAAGGAACTCAACAACTCAAAACCTAACATCAATTAGAATGAAGGTGGACTCAAAGAAGTGTCATAGTACTACAAAGGTAGATCTATCGATCACAAAAAAAGGACACATATGTGAAGCGACGGATAGTAGAGTCATGAGCATGGTAGTGCCATGGCACCATAAAGGTAGGATTTCCATAGAGTTATTGATTCCTTGCTCTCATGAAGGGAGAGTGCTTAGTCATGAAAGGGACTGAGAAGGTAGAGTATGCAGAGGTGAACTCCAAGTACTGAGATAAGGCTAAAGGGCAAAGGCCAGAGAACTTCGAAAGACTAGTGTCAACGAGCTTCTCATCAAAACAATCAAAAGTGAAGGACTTCGAGTCACTACAAAAGTGCTTGAGCAAGGAACAAAATTGATAGCATGTGATGCTATACCTTTTTTACTTAGAGGAGTAGGTGGTAGAGATAATGGAGAAAATGATGCAATCCTAGAGATAACCAAAACTATTAAAGACTTGCTTCAAGTTAGGACAAAATTTTGAGTAAAATTTTGTGCATTCTAGAAGCTCGATAGTAATAAGAAGACGAATTACAGTAACTAACTCAATGCAAGGAATGCAAACACTTTGGGTGTTTCGAAAGTGTGAACAAAAAGTAGGCGAAGACTAATAACTAACTCGATGCATGAAGTACAACCATTGGAGAGGCGAGCAAAGTTGAATAACCTTTGCCTTCTTAACTCTTAAAAGAATAGGCAAAAGTGAATACTCTAGTTCTCTTATTTATTAAATAGAAAAGTTCCGCATAAGTTCAAAGATCATTTAAAAAAACTTAGTGGAAGACAACAATTATCAAATCCTCACCAATAATGATTGGTATTATTGAGAGTAGACCGTTTGCTTCATTTTCCAATAGAATACCAATCAAAAGCAAAAATGATACGAACCAACTTGAAAGTGGCAACTAGAAGAGAAATCGATGGATAAATTTTAGGAATAAAAGACCCCAAAAACTTTAAAATCTACAAGGCAATGCTCGTTAAAACTTTAAAAGGTATCCATTTAGTCCAAGCAATTTGAGACGTTTAAGAGATTAGTGCATAACAAAGAAATTTTTATTTTTTCATCTAAAGGATCTATAGAAACCAACAAGGATCAACACAACTTGATTGACCTCACACCAGCGTTTAAGTCATTGGCAAGTTAAAGCAAATGACAAATCAAAATTCAACAACTCAACAACAATGATGGAATGCAGTTGGGAGCCAAGAGGCACATTACAACTAGAGCAAAAGATTGAAGATTCAGCAAAGGCTTTAATGAGAGTATCGACGGAATAAATGAGGGAGAATGTCATGAACAAAACTATAAACAGGGTACTCAATATCATGCTTATGTATGCCCGTGTCTTTTGATTTTGTTAATGCTTTACACAGCATATATAGAAAGCTTGCAATAAGCATGATAACTTCATTTTGGTTGGCTTTTATGACTGTTTCAAATTTATAAACGTTGGTTGTATGCAATCATCACACAAAAGATAAATTGTCCAAAAACAAACCATCCAAGTATCCATTTTCAAGGTTTTATAGCTTCATAAAATAGTACGGATATCAATTAGCACTACACCTAAGAGATATCCAAGTGGCACAAGGCTAGATTGATCTTTAAGATAGTATCTATGGCTAGTTCACTATTTTGTTCCGTAACAATATTATATGGACACTCGCGAACACTTTTAATTGCAACATATTACCTTGAACCCTTTGTCACATGACCGGAGCTTACGAAATCTATATTTATAATTTATATTACCTATCAAGTGTTTGCTAAAATAATCACTTATAAACCTCAAATTAAATATATTTTCTTTAACTCATCTTTTTTTTTTTTAAGGTCCTTAAAAGATTATAAGAGATTTCACGAGAATTGATAAAAACACGAAACGATACCGTAAAACTTAAGCAAAAGCAATTAAATCTATGGCATTAAACTTCCTTATTTATTTTCTTTACACACAATTCAATCTTAGAAGAAAAAGTATATAAAAAAAATCACATCAGATAAACTAAAAAAAAGTTGGAGACTCGATTACCATAGATCATTGAACGAAGAGAATTAAAGCTCTAAAAGGAGCCAATCAATTTTATGGGGGGTTAACGTTAAGTGAAGCTTAACTATACAAGAATATACTATACAATCTCACATCAAAAAGAGATAAAAATTTAAATTGATTTATAAAGATCAAATATATTATTATTAACTTAAATTTAAATATTTTAAATAACTAACTCATATTTAATAAAATTAACAAATCAATTATATCATCAGATTAGATTATGAAATATATCTTATGATAATCCCTTCTTCAAGCACATATGTTACATCACCTGCAGGAAACACTATATTGATACATATGATGACACAAATCAAGACAACGTTTTTTGTGTAAGAACTGCATTGATACGTGTGATGCCATAACTCAAGACACGATATGCTTTGTGGAACAAAACTTACAGATCTTAGCAGTTCTTCATGCTCAAGTGAATAGACAAAAAATACAAACAACAATTGGACTAAGCAGTCCAATGCGAGAATGCAAAGGAGCTCTTATCTACATAGGTAAGAGGCAACATGGATTGCAACTTCAACGGAGAAGCCATCGAACAACATGGCTTTCAAATAAACTCTACTGGCTGCCTACCCTCCGTCCCCTTCTAAGCCAAACTTACAGATCCTGCCTATCAACAAATGCTGCCAAAGCAGTTACCTTGAACACCCAATAAAGAATAGGATGCGTCAATCCTGCACAAACGCAATATCTCTGGACATAAGATCGATTATACCTCCTTAGTGTAACCCAGATTATACCTCACCGGATTTGATCAATCTGAACTTTGCAAGATCACAAAATGATCATCGTCAATAGTCTTCATATGATCACCAGTGCTCTTGCCAATATACCAAGATATTGTAGCTGTGCGCAATTGACAATTCAAAGCAAGGTTAGAATGTTTTAAGAGTTCTCTTGTGGTTAACACCTAAAAGGAAAACACCAATATTTCTTAAATTACTCCAAAACCAAAATTCAAACAGGCTTTTCAGACCAGCTCCAAATAACACAATATATCGTTGGATCTGTTTGCTCTATCAGACCATAAAAAGATAGAAGGAACAGTTCTGTAACGAAATGATGAGATAGGACCTTTGAATTTTGAACTGTTAATGGCACAGAATTCTGCAGCGGCTAGGCTGATTTTATTGAGAGAAGTTCAACTGGATACTGTTTTATGTCAAGGAAGATAATTATAGCTCTAAATAAATCTGTAAAAGAGACCTGGAGACTCCAAATAAACTTTTGCAAGACATGCCAATATAGACTTCTCCAAATGCACATACCAAGATGCTAGGACTTGGGTAATGATCCAACTCCAATGATAAGACCACCAAGCTAAATGACATGAGAAAAACCTAATCCTATTCCTTCTAGATATTTGACATGAATCTTACAGAGGTTGCACAATCAAATTGAATTCTCCTAGTGTTGTTCGTACCTGTGGCAGGAGCCATTTCCTGTTCTCTGGTTGTATGCAACAAGACAGTCCCTGAAATAACTGTTATAAACCCGCACAGTTCAGAAGCAATACTACTATTGTTTTGTCCAGACCAGTCCTGGTAATGCAGTTAAGGGTTTAGGAAGGAGAACTAACCATCACTGTTTTATATGTAGATAGATAAAATGATTGTGTGCATACCTTGAACATTATTGCACTTGCAATTATTGTAAGGCTAGTGAACATAACATAGTATATTGGGGATACGATTGCTGTGTTAAAAGTGTCAAGTGCCTGGAAGAAGAAACACTTAGTTTTTAGCAAATCATAAAAGATGCTATACTTCCTAAAATTTCACTGTAGTACTGTTTGCTTATGGATGTTTAAAGAAAATAGAATGCATGGCATCTAATGGAAGCTCAAAAACAGGTCAACTGTCTTCTGTCTCAGAACATTACATCCAAGAGTTACCAGGCCCTTGCAAACCTAGACTGCGTATACGGTGATGCATTCCCTGATCAAATTAAAATGTCATGATAACCATAAGCACCACTAGGTCTAGGATATCGATGAAAATTTAACCTCATGTCAGACCCTTACAACTCTAGAACCACTTGAGAGATGCTTAACTTGTAAGTACACCTGTTTGGAAAGACTTGACTAGAAAAATTCAATTGTAATCCATATAGGCCAAAAGATGTTACCAAAGAATCCAGCAAGATGGAATCGTGTTCCTTTCATCTATTCATTGACAAATAAATGTGAAGCATCTTAACAATGTTTTTTTTGGCCAACAAGGGCAAAACATCATTCAAGAAGAACTGTTCATGGTGGTACATAAAGCATTAGAAGTATGTCAAGCCTAACACCTAACAAATCACTAGCTAGATTGAAAACATGCATTCAACTATAACCATTCAAAAAAACTGATGTGACAAAAGAAAAAAAAAAAAAACCTTATGCTTCTATTTCATAATGCAAACGAAGAAGAAAAGTAGAAGATATGAACTAAAATTTTGCAAATCTCACAAGCACAAGTTTAAAAACAACAAATTTACTTTTGAAAAGAAACAGTTGAAATGAAAACTCTGACATCCACAGGAATGAAACTGCAGGTATTGGGATATTGTTGAGAAGTTTTATCAATAATTGTGAAAAGTGAATCATGTTAGGTGACTAAATGAGATTTCATAAAGGATAAACTGTTTCCAATAAAGCTTATGTTCTACCAACCTTGTTTAGATAATTCATTTGAGAGATGACACAAACAAGTGCAACTGTGACAAACAACCATGTCTGGTAATAAGTAACCTGACTTATTCCCTGAAATGTGAGTTTGATTGCAATTCCAATGGCTTTTATGCTAACAACCTGTAAAGGCCAAACATGGAATTCAGGATATCACAAGTTGACATAATAGATGACAATATCTTCCAGCATATATAGTTCAAATAATGAATTCAAGTATCTGCATTCTTGAGCTTGAAGCATTTTACCGTCAGTGAGCCCATCAGAGAGCAGATGCCCAAGTAAATTAATATATTTGTCTGTCCATAGCGGGGTTCAAAGTGTAAGACAAGCACCAGTACAAAAGACAATGTAGTTGCAGCATAAATTAAAAAACCTGCAGAGAGACAAATGTTAGGAGAAAATATAATATGTTCCCATCAGACTAAAGAAATAACAACTGAAATAGTCAAGGGGCCAGTGGGGACTAATTTCCATTAATACCAGGCTGAGTTGCTAGTTTCCATATTTCTTCCACTGAACTTGGAGATTGTTCTCGAGGTGCATGAATCACGATAACAACAGAACCAACTATGCAGGATATGCAACCCAAAATGCCCATTCTCTGTAAGCGTTCCTTCAGCATGAAGTGTGACAAGACAGAACTGCACAGTTTACCAAAGATATCAACATAAGTAATGAAAACATAGCGAACTTAATAGAGCAGAGGAACACATTTATACAGTACCTGACTATTATGCTTAATGCACCAAGAGGGGTCACCAGAGCAGCCGGGGCAAAAACATATGCCACAAAGTTTGCAACTTCACCGATAAGCACTATTTGTCAAGAAATTTCAGACATCAGGAACATTGTTGCTCTAGCAGTATGTACTGTTGAAATTAAGAAACTGTACAAGAGCATGCCTTGATTGTAGAAAAGTAGCTTACTTGTTATCATTCCAGCCCACCACAATGGTTGTAATAGATATGTATATCCGCCGACTCCTGAAGTTTGTATAAATAAATAAACAAATTAAACTATTTGAAAGCAACTTTAAATATACAGGGGATATATGAATCATTGAAATATGTTAGTAGATTATCCTATGGAAATATCATAATGAGAACTGTGAAACTGAAAGATAAACATTTAACAAGCTACCAGCCTACTACACGTATAATTATCTTATGTATTATGGAGAATTCAAAATTTTGACATGGAAGATCAACCATGTCTTAGATTCAAAGCAAAAAAGGGAAAGCAAATTACTGCTTCAGACTTATCTCACCCTATACAAAAGTTAACGAGTCAAGGAGGCCAATGTTACAAAAATACAGCAGCAAATGCTGTTTTACTTTTCTGTTTTGCTTATGTATTACTTTAGCATCACCAAGGACTTTCCCATGCATATGGGTAAGCTAGGGAACACAATTCCAAACATAAAAAGGACCACAGAAGTTTAGGAAATAAACAGTATAGTTACTACTCACTAAGTTGTCCTTATAACATTAATAATACAATGATAACACCAAACTCCAAGATAAAGTAGATTTACGAAAGAGGACCCTCACATAATAAACCCACTCCTATCACCATCCAATATTTTAAAAAAAAAAGGAACTAGTCATCAGATTCGAAGATCTACATTATGTTTGAACTTGAAGCATAAGGGCTCGGCGATAACCCTATAGAAATTCTCACATAAACAAAAAGAAATCTAGATAAAGAGTTGATATCTAGATTAAGCATAAGGGCATAGCGAGTAACCCTCTGAATAGATCAAGAATCATTTCTATGGAAGGTCTTCGGCATAACAAAATATATATATTATTCATACTTGTCCGAAAGGAATCATATACCAGCCTCAGATTTTAGAAAGAAGGTTAAGGAAACATAATTGTGTAGAAGCTCTTCTTAATCACAAAATTTCAGAACTTATTCAGACTTGTACTTAAAGAAGCATATATTACCATCATCCTTTTTAAATTATGTTAAGGTGATGTAGTTGTATCAAATGATAGAAACTACCTTAATTAATGAAAATGTATAGAATACAATAGGTAGCAGCATCAGATTTTATGTGGTAGTTGAAGGAGATGCAATTGTACCCCATTTCCATATTTCTCGGTAAAAATATATATTGATTGCTTATAGGCACTAAAACATGATATCAGGAATTTGGGCCAATCAAAGGAGTCAATAAACAATAATGTTGAGAGGGGAGATTCACGAAAATAGAATGTATAGTGCTAGTGCTAGGAACTAGAGAAATTACAACTATCAAGCATGCAGAACCAATCGGTTAGCTCCATCAATGTACCAGAAAGGTGGAAAAGAGTTGCATATATACCCAACTCATTTAACCTGGTTGAAAAAAGAGTATGATCCCATGTCTGAAAGATAAGTGTAGCTAGTAGCTACGCTATGACGATGGACAGAGGAACTTAATTCTTCAAATGTTGTATTAGAGCTTAAGCTAGCTTAAACATTCCATGAAGATCTCATGTTTCAATCATAAGCCTAATGCCAGTTCTTGAGATTTATTAGATTTGCTTTTAAAGACATTGATCATCTCGTTAAGATCTAACTAGAGAATGGGCCTAATATCGCAAAATCCATCGTAATAGCAAAGGAAGGGTCTGTCTTAACAACCGCGTCGAATGTTAAGCAAACTGGTGATCTCTCCCAGAAACATGAACCTATATCTACTAAAACGTAATCAAGCACCTGAATATCAAATCTTTGACTGCCACTGAACACAAAAAAACCACATCATTCAACAAGATGTACAGTCCATCAGTCGAAAGATCCGAAACGCAGGGGAGAAGAGATCTAGGATTTCTCATCTGACCTGCGCGGGTGCCGGATTTCCCGGCGCGCTTGAGCCCCTTCTTCTTCAGTATAAAGCTGGATCCGATGAAGGCGCTCGAGACGACGGCCAAGGCGAAGCCTTTCGTGTTGTCCGAAACCCCCATCTTCGCCAGTCACTTCCAACTCTTATCTCCTCTTCCTGTTCCTTCGGTTCTCTAATCGGTAAGGAAAACCACGGAATTGGAACCAAATAGGAAGCCAAAACCAAACAGGGCTACTGGAGCTGGAATTCTCCCACGCAAACCACCAAATTTGAATGAAAACACGGAGGGAAGGGAAGAGCCGAGGCCGTCGTCTTCCGTGTCTCAAGCTTTTGTTGGTACTCGCTGTTTCGCTGCGACCTCGAGACGGAGCTCGACAGCGACGGGAGGACGGTTTTGGCTTCTCCTTTTCGAAAAGATAGAAATAATTATCTACCCTTCCCGTCATCCCCGTTTTCCTGCCCGCCTCCGGTCAGAGAGGATCGTAGGCTGCCGTGAATCCAATCAACTCAAGGTATTTGTTTGTGTAAACAATATTAGGTAGAATTTAATGGACTTGCTTTCTTGCCCTTCCTATTATCAATTCTGTGTCGGTTTTGTTTTGGAAGGGACAGACGTGAGCGATGACGGATGACACCAACGACGTACTCGACGGGAACACCAGTTCGATAATTTGATAATAATATGGAGCCTTCTGTGGGTCCCATAAATTTCTCCAATAATAGAGCAGGTAGAGAGAGCTCGGTGGCGGTACGGGTGCGCTGAAAACTCCAACAGGAAAGGCGGGCCCACTGATATTGTAAGGTACTTTAAAATATATAAACATAAATATATGATAAAGGAGAAAATAATATATTTTTATCATCTTTTATGTTTTGAAATATATCAAAAGACTCCTAATTTTCATCAACATCAATCAAATTTTCATACAAATTATTTTATTAAATCTTAGAACTTAGGATAAAATTAATAGTTAAGATTTGTGACGATTTGAATTAACTAAAACTCAGATTACCATGGTTTTGAATTGAGCTATAGTATTTTGGTTCAATAATAATTAACATGGTAATTCTATGGAGAAATATTATATTGAAATATAGACTTATCAAAGTCATTTCTTGTTATTTATTATGATTATGGTGACATGGTAATAATTTTATACATCATCATTATTTATTATTATTCTTTCATAATAAATTAACACAAATTGAGATTAAAACTCCTAGTTTCACTCATATAAAACTAATTCTAGTTCCACTCATACATGATTAAAGTAGAATGCCATATTTTAATTTTTAATTACTACTATCAATAAAAAAATATAACTAAAAATAGATAATCTAAAACTTAAAGCATACTAATTTATTAAATAAAATTTACAAGGCTTCCCTCTATACATAGTGTTTTGACACCTATACTTAATTATAACATCTCACCAAAAAAATATAAAAACATAATATATTCAAAATTTATATAAACAAAAAATCCATAGGTCATCATTCATATCTGCATTGGCATGAGCTTGCACGTGCTCACTTCCCTACTCAATACTTAGATGGGGTACTGGTATCCTTACTCAGTTAATATACATCTTTATAATTTTATTTAGATGAGCATGCTTCAAATCATGTATATAATATTTTAAAATTCTTGATATAAGATATTTAATGTTTGACACCTCATCCTATGATGATCCTACAATATAGTATATGTACAAAAAAAAAGATAAAATTCTACATCAAAATAATTTAAACATTTGTATGTACATATAGGAAACATAGTAAATTATTTTTGAACTTCTGTATCTCAAATCATAACATATACATTTATTTTCATATTACAAGTTATCGTAATATATATGTGCATTCTCATATTACACATCATAATATATATATGCCTTCTCATACTATACGTTATGATATATACATGCACTCTCGTATCGCACGTTATAATATATATACGTACATATATCGCTCACGTCATGATATATACATGTACTCACATATTGCACGTCATAATAAATACGTGCACTCTTACACCACATGTCATAGTATCTACATACATCATGTTGTAATATATTTGGGCACTCCTACACTATATGTCATAGAAGAGACGCGTACTCTCACACCGCACATCATCATATATGCATAAATACATGTTATTTTTATTATAATTCATATAATTTTATACTTATAAAAAATATATATATTTATATTTAGCTCATGCCAACTCATAACAATCATATTATTCGAAACATACTTTTCAAAATATATTATGAATATAATAATTTATATAATCATTATTTTATAGTGAATTAAACGTATACTTATATAATTGAACTAAAAAATTAAGATGTCAATAAAAAACCATATTCTTTAATGATCGAGTGTGCTAAGGAGCGATATACCCATCATATTAAGAGCATAGGGTCATGAGATATCTTAATTAAGAACCCTACCTCTTAAATTATTACTTTATAATAATTCATAATTTTTTTAATAAAATTCCTTATAAAATATACTATACTCAGCCAGAAAATTCATTTAGATTTCACCACTAATTTTTTTAATCATTCACTCTATAAATAAATGAATTAGTCAGTATCAATCAAACCATTGTACAATTATATGAAGAAATTTTATTTCACTATTTTAACTGATCAAATGATATTGAATTGTCATAAAATTTTATAGAAAACTAGAAAATATATGAAACTAAATACACACCAAATTTCAATTTAAATACACACTAGGTTATGATTTTGAATTTTAAAAAAAAATTATAAAAAACTAGGAAACATATAAAACTAAATGACACTTCTAATTAAACTACCAACACCTATTCTGCTATATTGAAATTAGATTGAGACTATCTAAACTTATAAACCTCATATTTTAGTATACAGAGGTGGCATTCACTCAGTTTCAAATCTTATAGAAAATATATCAAAAGTACATAGCGTAATTATATTCTTAAAAAGAACAATTTAGCTTGAATAAAATCATTTTTTAGAAAATAAGGGATTCTGACTACCTTAGATTGTCCGGACAATCACAACTCTATACATCGATTTCAAATTAAGATCATACTAAAGGTCTTAGAACTATAAGAGAATCATATAAAATATATTCAAAAATTAAATATTAATTTGAAGTCTAGGTTACTCGCTAAAAAAATCAGCTTGTAATTTGTAAAACTAAAACCCTAAATATAGCAAAGGAAGAATTAAAATTTTCTTACTTCAATCTTTCTTAGAGGTAGGGTTTCCTAACCTCCAGAAAATGATTGAAAAAAGGGAAAAAGAGTTATGGGAAAGATGATAAGGTCAAAATAAGATAGAGATAATTAAGAGGTTACCTTAACGTATAGAGGGTTCAATCCCATTATGTCTCATTTCAATTTTTTTTTCTTATTTTACTAATATAATTTTAATGTTATAGTAACCTCAATTGAGTTTAATTTGGTTTGATAAAGATGATATTTTTAGTCTAAACTCATCCATCAAACTCACTTACGTATCTCAACATTTACTATAACACTCATCTTTCATTTAATTTTTCATTACTTCATACATATCTTGGCTTATGATCTAACTACATAAGCATTGATCATCCTATGCCACTTCATACATACCTAAGTAGCTTATGATCATCCATATACATATTTCTTATGTTAATTATGGTCAAACTTATTCAAGCATTGAGATTCACTTAAAATCGATTAAAATTTTATTGTCATTCTAGTCACTATATGCATATTTATTACTATAACTTAATCTCATATTCAAATCTACTAATATACTTTGGCTTGTTGTGCTATACTTAAAGTAAACATTAATGCTTATGTATACTTAATCAATATTTCATAGGACATGGAGAATAATATTTTTTAAATATATGTACTTCAATCTTAAAAGCTGAAAACATGAGCATATCATTTATTATATCTATAAAGTATAGACATCACAAATTATATCACTAAGTGGGAGCAATATATACATATTATTTGTGCTTCAGTTGGCATGCTAATTATAGTTCAATGTTTGTGAGATTCGGGCACTATACCTAAATTCAAGGTTAAGTGTAAAATAATTTTTTTAATCATTTATATTGAAATAAGTCAAAACTTTCTTAATTTAATCCAAATCTAGTTATATAATAAAGTTGATAATTTAATTTGATAAATTTTGAATTAATTTATATATTGCTCCTTTTATATTATTATTATTATAATAAATAAACATAAAAAATATTATAATATTTCTCTAAAAATATATAAAACTAAATTCAAGATGAAATAAAAAATTAAGTGTTGATCATCATTTATTTTAAAACATACCAAAATAATTCTATTTTTCAATAGAAGTACTCAAACACTCAAATAAATTGTTCATAAAATATTATAATATATAATAAAGTTAATAATCCAGGTTTATAAGGAGATATGGAAGATGACAACCAAATTTATGCAATAGGAGTGGTCTCATATTTAGGGATCTCCACCACTTCCATATCATCCCGACAATTATGACTTCAAACATTACGAGGGGTTCAATACTCGCCTCCCTAGCATTGATAGGAGCCTAAATAGCTATAGTTAGAATTGCCTCACTTATCAGACTAGGAACTTCTCGACGATCCTCACTAGGTTGTTAACCAACTTGACTTGGTTGATCAAGCTCTAAAGTCCATGCACAACTGGAGAGATTGTCATATGGTATCCATAATCAAATGTGTTAAAGCTTAATCGAGTGATTCACATAGTGAATCTTAAAGAAGCTTTCCATTCGATGATATCCTCCACTTGTGAGTTAGGTCGATGTTTGTTGATTGTAACCTAGTAACACTTAATAATATAGTGCCTATCTGATTAGACTTTGTTGGAAGGCATCGTTCCACTTCAAGCTGGTGTGGTAGCTCCAAGAGTTCCATTATTGCTGAGGCATTGCCTTGTTCCGACTCCTGCAATTGAGCTCGTAGTTGAGGCACCTCTCTTGTATGCTAATTTACCTTAGTTATTTTATTATAGAGAAAATCCTACTCTCAGAGTAAGATCGTCATCACGACAAAGCATCACGGTTTACTTTAGCAGCACTATCATCAAGCGATGCCTTATATATAAGAAACTATGGAGTAACATCAAATTCAAGGAGTTAAGACCTTATTATCACTATATGTTTGTGTGTCTCACTAAGGAGGGACTATGTCTTTAATACAATCTCTTCGTCGATAAATGATGTATAACCCCCAATTCTAGTACATCACTTATAGCGAAAGCATCTCGGATGATTGTACGCTATGAGCCCTTATGTTGATCTAAAGCCCTCCCATGAGCTTGAACTAAAGCTTTTACACATGAATCCATCTCGACATAGTTCATATACTAAGAGCTAGGTGGGGGACACTTGTTGGTTCAAGAGGGGTGTGGAGCATCACTGTTACTACTCTCTAGAGACATGGGGCCTAAGAATCTCAGGCCTACTTAAAACCTTCTATTTAGTTATGGTCGGAGAACTTATTCAGATGAGTCATAAAAGCTTGAAATAATATTCTCTCTTTTTATCATAACGATCAATTGCACACATGACTCACATAATGACAAGTCTCATATATAAAGCATCATAAATGATGATGCGAGTAAATTTGATCATAAAGTATTCTTTGAAAATAATATAGCTATATTTAGTCATAAAACATCATTTAATGATAACATGATCGAATTTAGCTATGAAGAATCATTTGACACTGATGCGATAGAATTTCACCATGAAACACTATCAAATCTAACCATAAAACATTCATCGATAATAAAATCTAACCATAAATGATCAAATTTAATGATGAAGTGCCCCCAATAATAATACGACGAAATCCATCCCTAAAACATCATTTAATACAATAATCAACTTTTTCTCATCCTCCTCCCACTTTCCACCTCATATGGATAAAAAAAAGATGGGCTTTCCATTTGTCAATCCATTTCAGGCCCATATCGATGTATCGAGCCCATTACTAGAAAAAAAAGAAAAATAAAAAATAAAAAGTATTGGCAAATTACTTCCAGACGTTGACCCTCCTAAACTTTGCCACGGGACCACTTTAGCATCTCAACATTTGGTCGAATGCTCGAAACATTCCCACTTCTATAATAATTTGCAGGAAAAGCGAGTATTCTTCCTTCCATTGCAAAGAAGATAAATGAAACCAAAAAGAGTGATGGCTACTGGAACCCACTCATCAGCATATGGTCTCCCTTTCGATGAGTCCTTTCAGTATAACTTATAATTTACAGTCACTCAATTTAAAATCATTGACCTACCGAGACCGCACCCGATCGACACTTGTCGGCACAGATGTCCGATCAAATAATTGTTGCGATGCAACATTTCCGAGGCACAAACCATTTGTTTTGTAAGGATTCTTTCCAGAAATTTTATAGGAGATGAAATCAAGCAAGCGAAGTCTTCTCGTGGAATCCGTGGGACTCATTGCTTATAAATTGCACCTCCTGGTATAAATTCTGTGACCATTACTGCCTATTTTATTGTGTCACCCCACCAGCTGGACATATTCTAAACTATCTGTACTGCTCGTTCCAAGTTGAACCACTTACCTTCCTCACGATTGGCGAGAGTCCGGACCCACAAGCGCGGCCCCCCGTGCTTTGACCGTGGTGGGTAGGTCGAGGCGGCGTGGGTGAAGCATTCCTGATTCCAGAGTTTCCATCTCACACACCACTACAGGCGTTGGTGGGCGGAGATCCACCGATTGCTCCAAAAAAGGGGATTCCCACCGTCCTCAGCGGAGGAATCAATTCGCCACTCACGCTCGTTAGGTTTTTATCTCGCCCAACCCCACCGCAGCGGATTCCGCCTTCCTCTCCCGGCACCGAAGAGACCACCCGACGAGTTTCTCATCCTCCGTGGCCGTCTCACGCTGTGAGGGAGTAAACGTCGCGCCCGATCCCTTTTTGACCCCTTCTTTATTGAGACGGAACAATGTGGGTCGGGAGGCGACTCCGATTCTACTTGTCTTTTGTGGAAAGGGTTTCGATTGGGTCGTTTGCGTGGCGTGGAGAGGAGAACCCACTCGAGGAACGTAGAAAGGAAGCCTTTTTCCCGTGTCCTCGATGCCGGAGAAAAAGGCGAATCAGAAAGATGGAAGAAAGCGAGGCGATGCCTCTCTTCTTTTTTCTCTCTCTCCATCTCTCTCGGCCCCCCACCCCCCTCAGGTTTCTCCCATACCGAAGAGGGAAGGGAAAGCAAATCCACCTCGGTTTACAAACTCCATGCAATCCTCTGCAGGCAAAGAGAGAGAAAAAAGATAAAAGTGTTATTTTGTAAAATTCATCAGTTCATATATAATGTTTTCATAATGTCCGAATACGAAAAATATTTTCCGATTAGGTACGTTCATGTAATCGAGTTCGATCTATCTCACCTTATCCCCTATGGATCCCATCAACCTGCAATCACATAAAGAGACAGGTAAGTATTAAAGAACATATAAAAAAGAAAAAAGGGAGGGAGGGAGCGAGTAACTGCGCGGCAGCTAAAATCATGCCGTCTGTCAGTTCATGGCGGAAGCCAGCTCACGCCGTCAAAGGTACCGTGAGAGAGTAGACCGCGTCAGAGACCAGACGACACCCACCCCGTACGTCCATCAACTCTCGCTCTCTCTCTCGCACAGCTCGGTGGACACGACTCCCTGACACACCCCGTCACGGGCCGAACGTCACCGTAACGGCGTCCCGCTCCGTCTCGATTAACCGCCTACGTGCCCCACTCCGGTGTTCGTTCACTTGCTGTTAGTAACGGCCGTCAGCTCCGTCACCTGGCGCCACTGTACTGTCACCTCCGCAGACGGCCGGTGTCACCTTACGCATCATTAGATGCAGTCATGCAAGCGACCACTCTCTCGCCTATTTCTGTCTCTCGCGCACACCCCCTCCGTCTCCGTTGGTGCTTTCCTCACTCCCTCCTTTCTTCTGATTCCGTGGCCAGTAACGCAACCCAGCTGATGCCTTATTCCCTTCGGACTCGTATGCTCCCTCCTTTTATCGTCTGCTACGGATAGCAGAAACACAGAGAACAAACCAAAGCAAAGAGAGGGAGGAGAATGAAGGCACACCTGAGCCTACTCGTACTCTTCTCCGTTGCCTTCCTCTTCTTCTTGGCTACTTCAGATGGCGATGCAGATCTCGAAGCTTTGATTAAGCTGAAGGCTGCCCTGGTGGCGCCCGGTAGCTCCGCCCTCGGCAACTGGGACCCCGCATCCGCGGACTACTGCTCCTTCACCGGCGTCGCCTGTGACGAAAACTCCCGCGTCGTCGCGCTCAACTTCACTGGCGTCCAGCTCAACGGCACGCTACCGCCGGAGATCGGCATCCTCAGCGGCCTCGTCAACCTAACTGTGTCCTGCTCCGGCGTCGTTGGCCCTCTCCCGATGGAGCTAGCTGCGCTCCCCTCCCTCCGCCTGCTCAACGTCTCGAACAACAACTTCAGCGGCGCGTTCCCCCACGTCGGACCCGGCGGGTTCCCGACGCTGGAGGTCATCGACGCCTACAACAACAACTTCTCCGGCCGGCTCCCGCTGGGCCTGGCGGCGGCCCCGAGCCTCCGGTACCTCCACCTCGGTGGCAACTATTTCAACGGGACGATCCCGAAGGAATACTCTGACATCAAGAACCTCGAGTACCTCGGTCTCAATGGCAACGCCCTCACCGGCCGAGTCCCCGCCAGCCTCAGCCGGCTCTCCAAGCTGAAGGAGATGTACATCGGGTACTACAATATGTACGTGGGTGGGATACCGCCGGAGTTGGGGATGTTGTCGTCGTTAGTCCGGCTCGACATGGCGGGATGCGGTCTCTCCGGCCCAATTCCGGCGAGCCTCGGCAGCTTGAAGCATCTCGACACACTCTTTCTCCAGATCAACCGGCTCTCTGGCTCCATCCCGCCGGAGCTCGGCGGACTCAGCATGTTGGAATCTCTGGACCTCTCCATCAACGAGCTGACGGGCGAAGTACCAGAGAGCTTCGCTGAGCTGAAGGAGCTCAAGCTGTTGAGCCTCTTCCGCAACCACATCCGGGGCGCCATCCCGCCGTTCGTCGCGGAACTCCCGAATCTCGAGGTTCTCGAGCTGTGGGAGAACAACTTCACCATGCAGCTCCCGGAATCGCTGGGTCGGAACGGTCGGCTCCTCAAGCTGGACGTGGCGTCGAATCGGATCACCGGGACGATTCCCCCCGATCTCTGCGCCAGCGGGCGTCTCGAGACACTGGTTCTGATGGAGAACGGCTTCTTCGGTCCGATTCCGGAGAAGCTAGGTGAGTGCAAGTCGCTGACTCGGGTTCGACTCGCGAAGAACTTCTTGAACGGGTCGATCCCCGCCGGGCTCTTCGATCTGCCCTCGAACGACATGCTCGAGCTCAGCGAAAACTTCCTCTCCGGAGATCTACCGCCGGTGATTGCTGGCAATAAGCTCGGCATGCTCGCTCTGTCCAACAACTTGATTACCGGCTCGATCCCACCGGCAATCGGCAGCCTCCCCGCGCTCCAGAATCTTGCTCTCGACTCGAATCAGATCTCCGGTGCGATCCCACCCGAGATCGGCCAGCTGAAGCAGCTGTCCAAGCTCAATCTGAGTGGGAACAGCCTCTCTGGCGACATTCCCGTCGATCTCACCCGCTGCTCTTCGTTAGTCATGATCGATCTCAGCCGGAACAACTTGACAGGCGCGATACCGGTGCGGATCCCGGCGCTGCAGATCCTGAACACCCTCAACCTCTCGAGAAACCAGATTTCCGGCGTGATCCCGCCGGAGATGCAGCGGATGCGGAGCCTCACCATCTTCGATCTCTCATACAACCGCCTCGCCGGCGTTATTCCGGCGCAGGGCCAGTTCCTGGTGTTCAACGAGAGCTGGTTCGTGGGGAACCCGGGACTCTGTGGACCGCCGCTGCATGTCCGCTACCCGTGCGGCGCAGATGGCGGCGGTGACGGGAGCTCCGGCGAGGGACACCCGCGGCAGCGGCGGTGGGACGCGAAGAGGGCGCTACCGCTGGCAGGGCTCGCGGCTGCGGCTGGGGTGCCGCTGGCCGCTGCGGCGGCGAAGGGTTGGAGGCTGTGGAGGGAGAGGAAGGGGCGGTCGAAGGCGTGGAAGATGACAGCGTTCCAGCGGCTGGACTTCACGGTGGAGGACGTGATGGAGTGCCTGAAGGACGACAACGTGATCGGAAAGGGCGGGGCGGGGATCGTGTACCGGGGAAGCATGGCGTGCGGGACGGAGGTGGCAATCAAGCGGCTGGTGGGGCGGGGGGCGGGGGCGGAGCACGATCGCGGGTTCACGGCGGAGGTGACGACCCTGGGGCGGATCCGGCACCGCAACATCGTGCGCCTGCTTGGCTTCGTGTCGAACCGGGAGACGAACCTGCTGCTGTACGAGTACATGCCTGGCGGCAGCCTGGGGGAGATGCTGCACGGGAGCAAGGGGGCGCACCTCGGGTGGGAGGCGAGGTGGCGCATCGCGGCGGAGGCGGCCAGGGGTCTCTGCTACCTCCACCACGACTGCTCCCCGCTCATCCTCCACCGCGATGTCAAGTCCAACAACATCCTCCTCGACTCCAACTTCGAGGCGCACGTCGCCGACTTCGGCCTCGCCAAGTTCCTGCACCATCCCGGCGCCTCTGAGTGCGTCTCCTCCATCGCCGGCTCCTATGGCTACATCGCCCCAGGTAAAATTACCAAACTACCATCATCTAGTAACACGATTTGGTAAATTCTTCCTCTTTTTGTCGTGTTGTTCTCTGTGAGTGGCGACTGGGGTGCGGGTCCCATTGGTTGGATATATGTGAGAGCATGGGTGGCAGAGGTCAACGAGGTAGAAGACAAGTGTGTGCTCGCTGCATGATAGATTTTGGACTTATTATTAAGGATGGACCAACAGAGTACTTGGAGTTATTACGAGTCAGAGTACGGACTCTATCCATTCTTCCACGGGATTGGATTGATGGTGAGGGGTAATCTTCCCAAGTCTAAATCCACCGAGGGTGGCGAGGGAGAAACCCTGGGGCTCGGATAACAGCTGGTCTGGCTTAGTTCAATTGTCTTAGTTGGCATAGACCACGGATACTTGCGTTAGAACTAAAACTACTGCTTACAACTTTGGTGATAGAGTACGCATACACGCTGCGTGTGGACGAGAAGAGCGACGTGTACAGCTTCGGCGTGGTGCTCCTGGAGCTGATCACCGGGCGGCGGCCGGTGGGCGGGTTCGGCGACGGCGTCGACATCGTCCGCTGGGTCCGCAAGACGGTGTTGGAGGCGGCCGAAACCACTGATTCCGCGGCCATCCTCTTGATTGCCGACAAGAGGCTGACGTCGACCCCGCTGGACCTGATCACCAACTTGTTCAAGGTGGCGATGCTCTGCGTGGAGGAGCAGAGCACGGCGCGGCCCACCATGAGGGAGGTGGTGCACATGCTCTCCAATCCGAAATCACCACCGCCGCCGCCACCACCCACCGATCTCCTCAGCCTGTGAATCATCCTCCTCAGGTAGCAGTAAAGCTCACTGTTAATAAGGTACTGCATGGGGTTTTGTTCTGCTGCACATAACTCCCCCTCTTCCTACATGCTACAGAGCTGCAACTTAGGTTGAACTCACGCTTTCAGCTTATACTACTACTACTACTACTAGTACTAATTGTGCTACTTGAAAGTTGACAGACATTAGAATGGTATTATGGAGTCATGTGTATATGAATGATGAATTTAAATTTTGCTATGCATGATAAAACAATTACATGCATATTTATGTGCTGGAAAATGTTAATTCAGGGTTTTGGTAAATGAAAATATTCATATTTCTATTGATGGGTTTTTACATATCCATCCTTGCAGAGTTTGAAAGTAGCATATTTGTTATCACAAAAATTTAACATGGCCTATATGTCCTTCTAAATCCAAAACACTCTAAATCAATGATAACTATCAACATGAATTTATTTAAATAATATATATATAATAAATTAGATAAATTGTCTTTAGTGTTTTTTTATCATCATAACAAACTTCTAAATCAGATTAGTGTACAACAAGTTTTAACTTATGATGACTGTCTTTGACTGTAAAATATGTCTGATTATTAGAAGGGTCAGATTTAATTTAAAGAATGCATGGAATGTTTCAACTATAGATCTTTGATTCAGGAGATGTAAGGTTGGTTGAATATAAGGAGTTAATAGAAAATTAGAAATAAAAAAAGTTTTTATTTATGAACATTTAGACATAGTTCTAACTTTAAAAATAAAATGAAAAATCACATAAAATGGTTTGAATATGTTAGAAAAACAACTGTGGTTATATGGTTAGATAAGGAGAGATAGTATTACTAATGTAATGAGAGATAAAAAAAGGACTTTAAAAATTTTACTTGAGATTAAAAATGAAGATTTTAATGCTCTTAATTTCAACTAAAAAGATACTTTGTACAATCCTAAATGATAAAGAAAGATTCATCAATCCCAAAGAGTTGTAACATTAGTACTTGTTGTGTGGACTTCTGAAGAACTTCTGGTTTCCTTAGGCATAATTGAAACAAAGCTTTGGAGCACCACTTGACAATTGTATTTGGTTTGAAGGGAAAGAATAATCATGTCATCAAAATTGGATTTGGTGTGCAGGGAATCATATGAAAAGAGGGCTGCTTTCAAAGAACCCAAAATTAGGTGCAGCATTTGTGGCCACTAGTGGTGGGATCCTTGTTTATATTAGAGATTAAGTAGAAAGCTTATGACATCCACACCCCATTAATCTACCACACCAAATCAGAAGCATCTCTTGAGTTGCTCCCACTTTTCATGATGACAAACATTGCCATATGCAGCTCATGGAAAGTCATCTTTGTGACTCACAGATGTTGAAGCTCAAGGCTACTCCAAAAGTCATCATTTGCATCAAGATGAAGTGTATACAAAAAGTTACTCCAAAAGTCATAATTTGTATCAAGATGTGGAAGACTAATGTTACCATCTTGAAAGCTATCAGGGAAGAATAATTCATGGCTTAGAAATCCAGTGAACAATCCATGTTCTCAAGTCCAGCCAAATCATGTGGGAGTGGATCTCAGCTTTCCCTATCAATCTTGCTAAAACGCTGCAGTAGCATGGCCCAGTTTATAGCACACAATAATAAGACAGCCAACAACTTTTAAGAGCCACAGATCATATAGATTGATACTGTAGATTACTAACAGTATGCTAATAGTGTTGTTGTTCAATCTTCATTCACAGGGATTAGCCTCTGGTAAATGCCATTTCACAAAAGTTACCATATCATAGATACCAAATTTCAGATCAAAGTTTAAAGTCATGTTTTTTTAAAAGATAAATGATGTAAGCAGTTTAGGTCGCGTAAATAATTATTTGATAAAATTATTATCTACTAGACCAATAAACTTCTTTAAAATTTAAAATTTATTGGATGAGATTTTGAATCATGAACTTAAGACAAGTAATTTAGATATTCCACAATTTGACTAATATTTTGGATGCCTGATGTAGATGTAGATCACAAGTCTAAAATAAAATTTCTTTTTAAATTAGCCAAGATGTCAAATATGTTGGATTAAAAAAAAAAGTCTTGAGTTTTCAATATTTAGACAATAATTCAAAGTGGTCCAAAGATGTTGGAATTCTGAACAACCTCAGAAGCTGTGGTTGTCAGAAATGTTACAGTACAATTGACCTCAATATTGTGACAATAATTCAGTGTGTTAACAGTTTAGCTTGACAGTTTGGTCATCTAGCACTTGCTTAAATGAAGCTAGCTAGATCTAACAAGTAGAAACACTTGGTACATTTTGGGATCATGATGTTGAAGTGTTGTTACTTTAGCCCATAGAACAAATTAATATGATATGAGCCCTACTAACATGCCATGCATGCACAGCATTAATTATTGATGGACTTCCTATAGGAGATAATGATATAATATGAACAGTGGACACAGAAATACTTGAAAAAGAAGATAATTGAGGATAGATAGTTATCTGTGGAGCAGATGTTTGCAGACAACATATGTGAGAGTAATCTTCATCCCACCAAACATGTTGACAAAGTGAGAGTTAGGTGGGCTTGGGAAAAGGACCTTCCAATTTCTTCTGTGTTGCTCTTTCAGTTTGGGACTCTGGAGTTGCTGTCTTGACAGTCATCCTGAATCATCCATGTGAATCATTGCAATGAACTTAGTCACCTGGAGCTTTCATGTCAGCAAAAAAAAAAATCACTTTGAGATGATTTACATGTAAGATATTATTGAGATTATCAGTGATAAACAAGTACAAATATATATATATATTATTGAGATTATCAGTGAGTTCTTCCAATGAAAGATCATTGGTCCACTCTCATCCTTGTCTCTAATTTATTAAAGTGTATTATTACTAAGTTGCAATCAGACATAAGCTAAGACAACAACAGATAGATGTCAGCATTGTCTTTCATGAATTCATGATCCAGCTGAACAAAGACACCAGGATTTCTACTGGCTGTGTTGTTTACAATAGTGTTCACTGTGAATCTTTCTTTCTTGTGGTGGTCCATCGAGGATGATCCCATCTATCATGGGTGGGAATCCTGCAAAAGACCAGTGAGGATTCCTTCTCTTTTAAATAACATCTCACCTCCCTGACTTGGTTTCTTGTGATCCTCATGGGACCCTTACAGACAGAAGCAGCAAGAAAAAGACATGGACAACCTCATGTTCCTTGAGGAGAAATGGAGGATTTTTGGTGCTTTCGACATTGTATTTGTCTGTGGTAGAGGTCTTTTAGCTGTTGGCTCTTCCCCACAGCTAACAAATGAGAGCATCAAGGATGAAGCCTCCCACATGGATGTCTCCCTCAGCTTCTCAATTTGGTCACCTACCCTTCTCACCATCCAGCTTCTCCTTCTCTTCTCTCTTATCCATCGAGTAGTCACATGCACCAAAGGATTGGGCCAGGGCTACCCCATTTGGACACAACAAGATCCCTTGCTTAACTAGTTAGATCCCAAATATAGGAGGAGTACAGTGGTTCGACAATGACGACGTTTGATTTCTCTTTCCTTGTATTTTTGGTCTTCATTTGCTTACTGGCAATCCCTCGGATTAAAGCATTTACAAGATAGAAATGGTTTACAAACAGAGCAGTACTCCAGATGGAGAAAGATTACAACAGAGCTTCTTAAGACACAGCATCTTCTCTCCATTTGTTTTCCTTCCTCAGATCATCTCAAGGATGCAGTGGTCAAAGAACTAAGCTGTTTCCAGTACTTGCACCACTTATTCCTTGCTCCTCTGCAGCTGACACAAAGCACAGAGCTCTCCTCTTAGATGGGGTGCAAAGGAGCTTGTTGGAACGGAGGGCTTATGCAAAGCTCCAAGTTGAGGTCTGGACACTTCGGTGGTCGATGGTGCTGCCGCCGTGCCGATGTCTCCTCCTCGCCGCTCCTCTCCTGCTCGCGTCCAAAACCAGCAGCTTTCTCCTCTGTTCTCCCGACGGATACGGCGGTTATGGTCGCGGCGCTGTCGTGGATCGGCCGGTGGGTGGCAGGATCCACCCCCATGCTCAGCAGCTTCTTCCTGATGTGCGTGTTCCAGTAGTTCTTGATCTCGTTGTCCGTTCTCCCAGGTAACTTTCCGGCGATCAGAGACCATCTGTTCCATGTGAAGGCAACAGGTAGTCAGCCTCCGCTGCATGGCGTCAGGGCTGAGGAGAGTCGCACTTACTTGTTACCGAGAAGACTGTGGAGCTTGATGATTAGCTCGTCTTCCTCCTCGGTGAAGTTTCCACGCTTGAGGTCGGGCCGAAGGTAGTTGATCCACCGGAGGCGGCAGCTCTTGCCGCAGCGGAGAAGACCGGCGGCCTTGGGGAGCGAGCGCCAGCAGCCCTCGCCGTGGGCTCTGATGTAGGCGATGAGGCGGTCGTCTTCCTCCTTGGTCCACGCTCCCTTGTTGGTGTGCGCTCTCTCGCAGCACGGAGACCTTCCCATGACCCTCCGATGGTCTTCTCCTGACTTCAACCTCTTGGCCGCAACCAGAGTTTGGGTGTTGGGTGTGTAAGAGGAAGAGGGAAGGGGGGGGGGGGGGGGGCGGGGTGAAGGGAGAAAGTGAAATAGGAAGGTATAAATACATAGAGGAGTTTGACTTTGACTTTTACATCTCACTCATATAATGTGCATATATTTTGTATAAGAATACATATAATGTTATCAGGATTATATTTTGGTATAAGAATACATATAATGTCATTGGAATATGCATTGATAGTATTGGCAAACTATAAAAGAGAATTAATTATTAATACGAAGTTAGTTTAAGATAAGAATATGAGATTGAGAATTATATATTCATTAGTAAAGTGAGGTGAGTAGAGAGTTTTATATCCTGATTCAATAGATCGGATGATTAAGAGATTTCTAAAATGAATAATTTTGGGTACAGTTCAAAGATTATGACATTGTGAATGGAAATTGTTGACATAGACATTGATGCATTATTAACATATAGATTAATTTGATTTGATGGGATAGGTGTCCATATAAGATGGTTTGTCTAATGCTAAAACCAATGATAAAAAATAAAAAAAGTTTAGATAGAGGTGGATGCTTTTAGGGGAATGTATTCAATGTGCAATACTACCGATCTTTCCTTCTAGTCCTTTGATGTCAAGCAATTTATATGACACAAATAATTGATATGTCCTTGTCTGGATCCCTAGGGGCCACATGAGCCAATCATATGGAGTATTAATATCTAAGAAGCTCATTCTCTCGATTTTTTTTTTCTTTTGAGTCATTAGTCGTGAGTGACTTATTAACCATGATTTTAGGAGAGCTCATTGTAGAGAACATTAATCTAAGTGTTGTGACCCAATTCTTCTTTCTAGACATCTAATATCAAGGACCGTCTCTTATTTATCCCAAACAAACTCTAATCCTAACAAATAATGCTCTTATAGTTATTCTTTTCTGACGTAACCCTTAGAGAGACGTGCTTACTAACTATCAACATAAATGAGCCCCTCGACAATGTGAGGGGTTCCTCGACCAATGACCGATCACTCTTTATCAGTTGCTTCGGTATAAAAGCCTAACCCTAAAATTTAGAGAGGCAAGATTTCTATTACTATCACCACTTTACTAACTTTACCTTCGAAGAGATCGGGTTATGAATATTCTCTCAACGCTGACCACTTGTATAGAGATCTCGACGAAATTAAAGTGCACCTCGAGACGATAGCAAACCCATTTTTGATGAATGAGCAACACCTTGGAGCTCTCAGTCAGAGCCTCTTTCCACTTCAATCTTCGCATGTGACCTCTCACGGCCTGAACGGTCTCATATCTTTGGAATTAAATAAAGTTGTCACTACCCGACAATAATATCGACACAACAACAAATATAAATATAATTGAACAGTTTGGTTACTTGTCTGATACAGACTCCATTAAAGAAATCTTTGATAGCTAACTTACCTTATTTGGATGATTAATTGTGCACTGTACAACCCCATATATGACATATAGGTAGGGAGTCTCCCATGTGAGGTATGTCCTCCTCACAAGATATCTTTCCTTTAAGAGATCGATAGGGACCCACATAATTACTCATTTATTATTATTTTTGTCAAATCATTTATCTTGTGATTGAATGTTGCGTCCAAATAATTCTATATGCTTCTACCTATCTAGATTTTTAAATTTAATGATGTTTGGGGAAGAGGAAACGTATCATATCAAATTAATGCTACTAGAATTCAAGAGCAAGCAAAGTGCATAAAGTAAGATATTTATTTATATAACAAATGGTAAATAATAATTTTATTCATATACTAAGCTCCACCAACTTTGTTATATTCTTCTAATTTGTCTTAGTATGCATACACTGATTATATATTATGTTATAATTCTAAAAATTTATTCATTATGTCCATTGTAATCAACTTGTAAGTCCTTAACATTTATAAAAAAAATCAATTGCATATCATAATTCTCATTTAATTTTTCCTAACAAAATATGTTATAAAAATTATTAAATACAATGTTTATTTAGTTGATTATATAATTAGATATGGTACTAACAGTTATATGCATGTATCTTTAGAACTATGTCACATATTTTATAAAATTTTATTTTTAATCTTTTATCTTTATGACATGCTTGATTTTTTTTAATTTTATTATAAATAATAACTGAAGAAGGTAAAATTTGAGCTCAAGCAATAACAAAATCAAAATATTTATTTAACATATACTAACATATTGCATTTGCATATTATTATAAATATAAATTCAAGTGGAAAATATAAACAAATTTGTGACTTTTTAGTATAATGATAATTATTTATTTCAATTAAAGTTTGTGAATCTAAGATGAAATAATTTTATTTTAGTTAAAATTTGTGAGCAGAATTATTAGGATAAGTCACCAAGGAGAAATTTACTTTAAATTTTCAGTCAATGTAAAAAAAAGAAGATCCATCTTAGAGTTTTCATAATAATGCACTTAGAAAGCTAAAGAAAATTGAAGAAAAATACACACATAGATAGCCATTTAAATAATTAGCTTGATTTGCTTAAGCCACTTTAATGTTTGGAATGCCTTTAGATGTGTTCAAGACTACGTGGACTCGTCAACATACCTAATGGTCGCAACGCGGACGCTTTGTTGAGATGCTTCTTGGCTAAGTTAACTACAAGAAAGATGGCCACGTTTATATACGTTTTTTTTGGATTTTTTTTTATTTTTTCGAAGGATAAATGGACATTTTCGCAAGTTATTATTATTTTTAAGATGGCCACATCATACATGTTTTTTCGAGATGCTTTTTTCCTTGAGAACGATGTTTTCCTTGAGAATTCATCCAAGAAAAATGATATTTTATCAAAATATTTTTATTATTAATTTTTTTTTATCGAATGACATCCCCATATTCAATGGGTATTTCTTTTCTAATATTTTCAGACTTTTACTGTTATTTTAAAAAAAATCTAATTTCGATATTAAGTCTCATATTTTTTTTAAAAATAAATGAAATATTAATCATCTATTAAGTTATTCTGTGAAATCTTTAGTTGATTTAGTGAATATCGATTAAGTTACATTAAAAATTAAACTAGATTATATTTGATTATTTTAATTATATTTTTTTAAAAATTAATATTAATTGATTTGATAAAAATTAATCAACTTACAGTCGAAATTAAATTAAGTTATATTCGAATTACACTAATTTATATTTAATTTAATTTTTTTTTTATTTTTTATAAAAATATTTTTAGATTTAAATGAATACGGGACTTCATCCGATAAAAAAATTAATATGCGGTTTTTCTCGATAAATACCTAATAAAAATCATTTAAATGTGTGTCACAATTCACAAAATTCCAAATAATCGGTGCCATAACGCCGTTAACGTCCCCCTCCGTTTGGCTTCTTCACGGCTTGCAACGTGGCACACATCGAGGGGATGAGAACGGCGGTTGCAAGACGGTGCTCGTCTTAAACCGTCTTTCGTATCTGCAGTCGTGCCACTTCGCCTTGCCATTGCTTCCCGCAAGGCCCTCTCTTTCTCTCGCTCTCTGTCTCTCTCTCTCTGCCATTACCTACCCTAAATGGACCTGCGAGAAATCCACCACGACGACGACAAGGATGACGAGGACAAGGTCGAGGCCGACTCCGCCTCCGATATCTACTTCGACGCCCTTGATTCCTTCATCGAGTCTGACGACGACGGCGAAATTTTCTTCGATTTGCCCCCGTCTCTCCAGCTTGAATCGGCCTCCACCCCCCTCGACGTTTTGCCTTCATCAGCATCGACCCTCCGCCGGCGTCGCCAGCCGCCCCCCGAGGGAACCGACCCCGCCCCTAAAGCGAACTTGGATTCCCCCGCCGACACGCAGCCGAAGATTGAGCTCGATATGAAGCGACGGGTATTGGGTTCGGATACTCCGGCTTCTTCTGCTATCACCTCGGATCAGGTTAGTGCCGGAGGACGAGATGGACGCCCGGGGGTTTCTAGGGAATCGGGAGCGACGAGCCGTGCCCGTGATAACGAGGTAGCGGCAGCTGACGCTGGATCGGTGCCGTCCTGGTGCATCTTGGAGTTTTCAGCTGATCTGGTGATCAAAGCTGTCTTCTTTCAGATGACTTTGCTGGTCAGCTTCGTCAAGACAACCTTTTGGTTGTTTCATTGCTCTTTCTTATGCGTCACAGATCCTCTCGGCACTCTTTACCGAGCAAGGGATGGGGCAAAGGCAAGGGTTTCGGAAGCATGTAAGAGTTTGTACGAGAATATTCTCCCGTTGATGTTCGGAAGATTAATTAGACAGCGGGAAACGTGGAAATTGGTGGTGATGTTGACATGGGGGTTCTTCTGGTCTCTCTATGTATGTCTCTTGTTGTTTGGGATTTTGGCAGCCTCTTTCTTAGGAGCGAGTCTGATCATGAGGCGGGTGGTGGAAGAGCCCATACAGATGACCGAGGAATTGAGTTTTGATTACACAAAAACCAGCCCGGAAGCTCTTGTGCCAATTGTTCCTTGCGTTGGTTGCTTGGTTTCCAGCAAAGAATTCAGCATTGTGACCCATGAATTTCGGCGGCTGGCGCCTCCAAATCAAAAGCTGCAGCTTACCATTTCATTGACTCTGCCAGAATCGGATTACAACAGAAATCTTGGGGTCTTTCAGGTATGTATTTTGAACAATGGAGGCATGTGTCTCAGAAATTGGATGTTTTTTTCACATTCGCGTGATGTATCATTATGTCATGTCAGCTAATTTTATATTCTTTTTTAGATTGTTTTGACAATTCTGCATTTTGAAGATGTGATTTAATCCGGGAAATTTAGTTCCCAGGGGAATGACCACTTGCTTATATTTGGTTCAAAATGAGGTTACTGCAGAATATGAGAAGTGAAGTTCCAAAAAGAAGAGAAGCGACTTTTGACTTTGAGGCAGTGCTGATGATGCTGATTTCTGAAATATGTAGGAAGAGAAGCTCCATACCCCATTCACTTCCCTAAAATCCAAAACACTCTTAGTATCGCTTGATTAGTTTACTTGAATCAAGGCATTTTCTGAGATCTAAACACTCCTTGGAAAGTTGGTTTAAATGTGGATATATGAACTTGTACAACTCTAGACTTTGGGTCAAAGTGAGGTATAATATAGGCAGCGCTTGGTCAAATTCAGGCCTGTTTAGTAAATTGAATTTACTCCTTGAGATAGGACCCAATAAAATACTTGTTTAGGCACCCACTTAAAAGTGCACCCTCTCATTCAGAATTGTGTAAATTTAAATCTCATACTTCCCATTTGATTTTTCTTTTCTGATACTATAAATCTGGAATTTATGGTTGTAGTTTGGACTTATAATTTGCTATATGTTCTTAGAAATTGCATTGAGCTCTTTGAAAGCTAAGACTAGAATGCTCTCTAGTGTAGATGCACTCGATAGTAATTTTGTTATTAGTTTAAGTGATTTGTTTTTTCTTAAATGTATGATCTGTTTGTCAGTGTGAAGCGTATTACATTCCTCTATACATGCTTAAAATGTTTGATGTTATATTCTTTTATGATATATTTTGCCACATCTGAATGTTACATTGATATAGTTGGCATTATCTCCTCCAGTGCCAAGCAATTAAAAGGAAGGTAAAAGAGAGAAATCAGCTATATGCTTGTCATAAAAGGTGCCATAAGTGCTGTTTATCTTTTCCTATTTTATTTTTCAGTTTGTCTTTTGCAATGTTTTCCACATTTTATGTCTTCACAAACTTGAACTGTGAGATTTTGTTAGGAATTCTGGTAGTTTTGTGGAACTCTTGCTTCCTCCTTTCTGCAACTCGATGTGCTTGGTCATTATAATTTATATTGACCTGATCACATTCATATGACATTGATTCACTAAAGGTTGGACCTTGTTACACTGCTTAGATCAGGCCAGTTTATAGTTTCCATTTGCAGTGGAGCTTGAACCTAATCTTTTCACATGGTTAATGTTCTAATGTGTTTAACACCTTCATGTGATTTTTTTGGTACAGGTCAGGGTGGAACTTCTAACTATAAATGGCAACATCACATCCAGTTCACGTCAACCATGCATACTTCGCTTCAAGAGCTCTCACATTCGCTTCGTAGAGACTTTCCTTAAATCCATGTTTCTATTAGCAGGCTATTCTTCTGAAACACAGGTTCTGAGTTTAAGAATGAGAGGCCTTATTGAAGGAACTAAACCAACCATATGCGTAAGGGTCACACTAGAGCAGAGAGCAGAGTTTAGGCCTGGTGCTGGTATCCCTGAAATTTATTCTGCATCTATGAAACTTGAGGTTGAGCTTCCTTTCTTTAAGAGGATGATATGGAACTGGAGGAAGACTGTCTTCATCTGGACCAGTATGATGTTATTTATCATGCAGTTGCTGATTCTTCTTGTATGTTGCAGACCTGTTATATTTCCCAGGGGAAGATCTAATGGTGGTACTCCTAGGAGACCATAGTACGCGAACTTTATATGCATAATTGTGAGAGTAATAATCTTTCTGCTGGATTTATTGTGACTTTTATGGCTGCTGGATATAATGGTTATCTTCAGATTTCATCTGATAATAGTCATGATGTACACTTTGAGTTTGTTCAACACTTTTGATCAGTCAGTGGCATCCGGTATGTTTTCCAATTTCTGAGGCACAATAGAAACATGAAATATGTTTTGTATTATAAATTTTATTTTCTGAACAATTTAACAAAGTACTTCTGTTGAGAAGGACAAGAATCTAGTGTTATACAAATATATTGAATTGAAGAATACTTATGTGTGCAAATTTAAGGTGTTGGTAGGTTAACTAATCCTGTTGATTGGCGACTAAGTAACAACCGCATGAATATATTGAACAGGGTCTTTCTATTTATGTTGTTATAAGTATTTAACAAGTGAGGCAAGAATGAGACAGCAATTTATTGAGTTACCTTTCATTTGTTGACAATAATACATTAAAATATATACCTCAAACAAATGAAGCTGTTGCCTAGTAGATTTAATGGTATGCTCACGTGTTGCCTTTAACAAACACTTTCACCAATTGGACATGGAGAAGAAACCTTTCAAGATATGAACTAAAAGACTGTACTAATAGATCAACACTTTATTGCATGAAAAAAGAGATAACAAGCATGAGAATGAGCCTTAAATGTTTATGAGCATGTCTATCTATAGGTATAATAATGCCTGAATCTCCTAATTTAAGATGACTGTAAACTGGCTAGAAATTTGTATCTAAGTTAAAATCCTTTTAAAAGTGACCCTGATATTTTATGTTTCTTAGTCCAGTCAACCTTATTTAGGCCCCAAACAAGGGTAGTGCCGGTACCAGTTGGTAGCCGAACTGTTATGGCATCAGTACGAACCCAACTTATCATCACTCGATACAATTGTTATTGCTCGGACCAAACTGAAGGAAGAAGAGAGGAGGAGGAGGTGGCAGTAGTGAGACAGCTTGGTGGAGGGAAGAAAGAGAGCATGTGTGGGAGAGAGAAAGAAAGAGTGGTAACCATTGATAAAATTACCATTTAGGACAATCTGATATTGGTCTGCTTATTACCCACTATGCCTGATACAATGAACTTACCAGGTAGTATAGGCTGTACCAAACCTAACCAGGTGAAATTGCCCAGTCTGTGTCCTGGTTGGTCATGGGACTGGTATATTTAATGATTTGATCATCCATATGGATTTTTCATGTGGATGAGGCTTATGACTAAAAATTTCTTTGATATAAATTTGAATAAGTATAATTTTGATCATTTTCTAATTCTTCCTACAATCTCCAATCGATTATTCTAGGCTATTTAGGACAATGTTGATGACCAATTAAAGCCCCTGTTGTGTCTGGTTAGGATAGATTTAGGTGAGTTAGATGGTTAGATGTGTTGAGTGTTAGGACTCACATGGTAAGTACTTTTCCTTTTCAGTTCATCTTGCCCTTTAAGGTGACACATTGATATCTCTAATCTAAAACATGATATAAATTGAGAATATGGCATCTTGATATTCATATTAGTATAGCATACTTGAGTTTCAACTTCTCTACCATTCCAATTGCAATTAATTGTCATGGTGTCAAAAGGGCTGGATCAAGTTTAGTGTTTCAAACACTATACCTAGAATAACAATAACCTTTTCATATATGTAATGGATCTTGATACATTTCATTTTTAGAAGTTGTTTTGTACATTTATGCATCTGGAGGTGTTTGACCATCTAGTCTATCACTCAGGTAAACTTTGCAAGGCTTGATGATATTTTATTATAGACAAATTTCTTTGCAAATGCCCACATTTATGAATGTGTTAACCTGGTTGCATATAGATCAGTAACCAAGATTTCAAATCTTGGTCTGATACCAATGTCAATCATTGGTGAACCCGTACAGTACCAGTATGGCTGGATGTATTGTGTCTTGGTATGCACTTGTGCGATTGTTATGGATATGGCTAGAGAGGAGTATGGTGAAGTAGGCGAGGGGGGAGGAAGATGATTCTACATCAGTGAACAAGTTTCAATTACATGTTTACATCATTGACTTGGCATAATGGTTTTCTTAGTAATATCACACATTGCACTTGCATCCTGAAATTGCTGGACCATATCTGTTGTCCAAGCATCTCTTCATGTAAAATATATCATCCTGTTACTTGTTGCAGGTAATACTACTTTCGGTGAATAACTTTCAACATGGTTACATTATTGACTTTGCATAATGTGTTTCTGAATTTTCATAGTAGGTTGAAACACAAACTGCATTTGCATTCTAAAATTGCTGAATTATGTCTTGTGCAAACATAGCTTCATGTAAGATTTTTCATCTTGTTACTTATTGATGGTGATACTAGTTCTAGTGAACAATTCTCAGTAACATGTTTACATCATTGACTTTGCATAAGGTTTTTTCTAATTTTCATAGTAGGATATAACACATGTTGCATTTGCATTCTATATTTGCTGAACCATCTATTGTACAAGCATCTCTTCATGTAAAATTTATCATCCTCTTACTTGTTGCAGGCAATGCTACTTTGAATGAACAACTTTCAGTAACATGTTTACATCGTTAAATTTGCATTATAGTCTTCTGAAGTTTTTATACTAGGTTGTAACACACATCAGACTTGTATTCTGAAATTGCTTAACAATCTGTTGTGCAAGCATCTCTTTATGTAAATTTTGTCATCCTTTTACTTGTTGCAGGTGTAATATCTTTACATCATTGATGTTGCATATTAGTAGGTTATAACACATTCATTTGCATTGTAAAATTGCTGAATCTTGTGCTAGTATCACTTTATGTAAAATTTATCATCTTGTCGTTGCAGGCAGAGTGGCATACTACTTCACCGAAACAACTAATATCATGTTTACATCATTAATTTGCACAATACTTTTCTGAAATTTTCTAGTAGGCTGTCATGCATTGTACAAATCTAGTTAAGGAGATGCTGCAGTGTTTTCTTCGCACCGCAGGTGGCATGGTATCATTTGCAGGTCGGAAAGGCCACAAAGTAGTCATCCACAAGTCTTCTTAGTGGTAAAGGAGTTCAACAAGATCTACGTAACAGGCTTGCCAACTGTCTTCCCTTTCATTAATCATGTGATGATATCTTGCTCCCTTCTGTTTGAGCCACCACAAGTAGACTTTTCACACATCTAAGCTTGTAATGTTGTGGGTCTTTTTGTAACTGTAATTTAAATGGTCACTTAAGCTGTCAAATGGTAGAATAAGATATTCATCTTCAATTGCTGAGAGATGTTTGCATGTTTCTTTACATGTTAAAGTATCGCCTTTTGACTACAAGTTATGATGCTGAAAGTTTTTGCATTTATTTGATTTAGAGATACATATGTTCATTGTTTCAAGCTTCAACTCCATCAATTTGAGCAAGTCTGATCATAGGTAGAGGAAGTGAGGGATGAAATTGGAGGAAAAATGGGGGTGGGGAGTGAAGGAGAGGAGCTCATTTATGTTGGAAGAAAATTTAGGTCAACACAAAAAGGATTGTAGAAATTGCAAAACTAGAAGAAAATAAATGCATGTTCACTTACATAAACATATTTATTGAGATGGGATTTTTAGATCTTACTGGTCCTGGTTACATGAAAGGAACAAGAATTATCACAATGTCCAAACAACCTTCTAGTCTCAATTCTAAAAGTAACAGTAAAGAAGTAGAAGCACAATCCCCATTGTTTGAGAAACGACTGTCTATATCTATCTCAGAATGCAAATGTTATAGAATCACGTATACAGGGAGAACAATGATGCAACTCATGAGCTTGCATATATTACTAGATCAACTGCTTTGTCCAAGTTCTCCTCAATTACTAGATCAACTGCTCTGTCTAATAATAATGAATGTTTGTGTTGTTCTTTTCTAAAAAGACAAACTCTTGTGAACTCATCTTTTACTTAATCAAGAATAAAAATTTGAACTGATGTTTACAATACTGTTTGGTATAGTACGGATGATATTGACCGATCCGATGAATAGGGTGTTCGATACATAAAAACCTATGTCATCGGAGCCTATACCGATTCATACATCACATCACATTACGGGCAAAGTAGTAAACAAGGTGTTCGATATAATGCTTGTGTGTCCGTATCATTTTAGTCTCCTTTTGATTAGTTTTTATGGTCGTTTCAGGATTGTAAAGTCCGTATCATTTTAGTCTCCTTTTGATTAGTTTTTATGGTCGTTTCAGGATTGTAAATGCAGGCGATGTGCAATCATCATGCAGAAGCAGAACTTTCAGAAATAGATCATCCAAGCAATCATTTTGGGAGGTTTTTAGCTCTGTAGAGTGATGCGAAGTGTTAGCCAACATGGTATCCGGAGCTACCCGAGTGACACATAGTTAGATGGACTTTTAAAGTAGTGTTTAGGATTGGTTCACTGTATTATTCCGCAGTAGTGTCTTGTGGGCACTTATGAAGACTTCTGGTTATGACGGATCACCTTAGACCCTTTATTGCATGACCATTCAGAGCTTACAAAGTCTATGTTTGTAATTTATAGTGTTTATCAAGTGTTTACTAAATGGTTGCTTGTGGATCCCGAGATAAATATTTTTTTAACTCATCTTCTCTCTTGTAGGTCCTTAAGTGATTATAAGAGGTTTCGGGAAGGTTAATCATTTGTGGATAGACACACAATGGCGTCACACGGCTTAGGCAACACTAGTTAAGTCAGTGATAGATGATATTAGAGCAGGACAAGCACACTTATAAACACTTGGCATGCAAACATTATTGAATCTCGTATTTTGATAATGAAACCAATTGATAAGTATTTATGATTTGATCTACGTTTTAAGTGACATAGGATGCTTCGATCAGGGAGAGACATTTAAAGCAAGAAGAATCATATTGGGCCTGAGAAATTTGTTGGAAGATTGGACGTCACGCCGAAGGATTGATCGACGTATTGACAAAAGGCTTTGAGCCACGGTTTCGGGCATCGGGCCAAGAAGAGCAGATATTGTGCCAAGGATATCGGAGTTGCGGAGGTCAATTGGCGGCAAGAAAGGAAGATGCGCCGAAGAATCGGATGAAGTGTCGATGGACCAATGACATGCCGGACAACATGATTCATCCTTAGTAATAATTGTCTAGATCGAAGTGTGCTTTTATGTGTGCAGGATTAACTATGATAGCAAGGCATAAAGCAAAATGAAGTCCCGGAGTCAAGAACATGATTTCGTTGGGAGTTCGAGAGATCGTCGGAAGTCCGGACGTTCATCGGAAGTTCTATCGGAACCAACCGAAAAGTCCAGGAGCTTGCCAAAGAAGCTCGTCGGAACTCGCCAAGAAGATCGTCGTGAAGTCCACGAGCTTTCCGGGAGTCCTTCGGGACATTGCCGGGAGTTCGTCGGAAGTTCGCTGGAAGAGCAATTGACGTACCAGAACTAGAATGCTTAGAATATGTCTTAGGAATCGTAGTTAGCACATAATTGGAGTTGGGATTGAGAGGTAATCTCATCAACTCTGTTAGGGGCCAATTGGGCCCGAAGTTGGGATGGTTTAGGCCGGATTCAAGGCCTAACCAGGATGGTAAAAGCCTGGCCGGCGGTGGCACCACCTGGGAGATTCAGTCTCCCAGGTGGTCTAGGTGGTGGTACCACCGACAACAAATGCTACCAGCGACGGTACCGCCAGAGGTCGGTCTCCGAGCTTTGTCAGGCAATGGTATCGCCCAATGTCAGACTGACACTAGCGGTGGTACCGCCCGTACCCAAGAAACCCGGGATGAGATGTTTTTAGGCTCCAAGTTTGAATCAACTTAAAGCTTATAAATACCCCGCTCATCCCTGGTTAAGATACACAAGCACAGAGAGTTTTAAAGTGAGAAAACGCTGTTGCAATCACTTGAGAAATCCTCTCCTCTAGTCTAAGTTTAGAATTCTGTTTAGGAGGAGTGAGTGTTTGTAAAGGTTGTCTCCTAAACCTATGAAAAGGAGAAGAGGAGTGTAAGAAGGAGGTTGATCTTCGCCTATTAAAGGAAGATCGATAGTGGATGCTAGTGGCCTCGACGGAAGAGGAATCGGCAGAGTGGATATAGGTCACGACGACCGAACCACTATAAAACTCGGTTTATATTTCTATTTATGCAATTTATCTTTACTGCAAACTTACTTGCTTTACATCTACTACGCTCTTCCGTACGCTTTCGATTTCAAGTATCTTTCCGAAATCGATTTTAACGTACGAAGATTTTTAAACCGACGTAATTTTTATCGTTGTACTAATTCACCCCTCCCTCTTAGTGTCGACTCGTTCCTAACAAACATAAGGGACCTAGCGAGGCTGTGATGAGGGCAACCAACACACATAACTGTTTGAGGGAAACGGGTGTTGAGACATAAGTAAAGGAGTCGGTCAAAGGAGCGGGCATTCAAGATTGACATTCATAGGAATAGCTACTCCTTCGCGTGAGAGGCACTATGAGAACAAGCAAGTTGGGAAGAACGCATAGTGCACAAATGTTGAAATGGTTGAGTTTGAGCTATGGCTCAATGTTGGCAACTAAACTTGACGATGCTAAAGGCAAATAGGGCGCTTGGTAAAGGATGAGACTATACAAGGTGGTATATGTTGCTCAGTGACCGAAAGAGTTATGCAAAGCTCATATAGGAGAGGGAAATTGCTAACTCGAATAATTCGATACTCATGCAAGATTTTGTATGTGAAGGATGGACTATTTGTGGCCATCCCAAGGCGATCGAAACTCGACGCTATGGAGCATTGAAACTTTCTCTTTAGCATGAGAATGATACATCAGTAGGAGGCTGAAGTTTATAATGAGTTTAGCAAACTAATAGGCCTTAAGGGATACAACAGAGCCTGTATTAGTGAAGAATCATAATCTAACAAGTGCGTTCATGAGGACAGAACAGTGCACAATTTGTTCAGCAAGATGGAGTAGTCTAAGGGGATGTTGGTCTTAGAAACTTCTAGATGGAAGGATGCAAAGAGAGAAGTTACTCCAACAGAACAAATATTCAGGAGGGATAAGTCCCGATTTTTCATAGGGAGAATCATATGCAACAGATCGCACATATTAAGGAGGGATACCTTAAGACAACAACTCCACAAAGTTCAATAGATCGAGTATGCAACGAGAAGTTATCGTATGATCTCGCATGAGGTGATGTGTTGGTGGACGCATTGTAAGATCAAGTATGAGAGTGACCCAAGACAATACTAAACGAAGGCACACTTAGAGTCGATGTGGAGATCAACAGAGGATTGATCTATAGAATGATGGGCGTAAGGGCTACCATTAACTCAATGCAAACCGAGGAGCAGAGTAACTTGGGTGAAACTTAGTGAAGTGCTTAAGCCATATAAAGGGAGTCGACATAGAAGATGAAACATGAAGTAAAGGCACAAAGCTATCCTTGGATAGAGGTCAAGGATATGAACTCTTACAGAGGAAAGAACGAGATCATGTCGTTCCATGGGTCCCTCATTCTGATAGAGTGGACTCAAACTGTATGATGTCAAAATCGAAGGGAGCTTCGAGGCACATATACTTTATCACAACGAAACATTTTATGGAGGAACTACGGTGACTTAACTTGCGAAGGCGAAGTTTGGGTCAAAAGGTCTTGACATGAGGCAAAGGATGCAAAGACAAGTACTCTTAAAGAATATGTCATAGTGCTACCATTCGAGTTGTCGCGAAGCAAGCAATGCATAACGGAGATTGTGCTAGGGAGCAAAGGCCCAAGATCTAGACAATGACGTACCAATTACAATGAAGTCGGTGGCTTTTAGAAACTGCTAGGCGATAGACTATCCTAAAGCTATGCTTCATCTAGGTGTGATCCGAGAGCGGGTGGCCAAAGGTCAATTGCTAAAGGAGCGAACATAATCGGAGATGATAGAGGCAATGCAATATATTGGTAAAGGCTACACATTGAGAGATCATAGTTCGAATTCAACCCACAAAGATCAAAATGTAGTAGAGATGTCACCAGGAGGCGACATGGTGCAGCGGATCATGGTGGAATAGTTCGAGGCAATATAACATAAATGGGAGAAGTTTTGTGAGAGACCAAATCATATAGAGGTATAATCAGGAGCTACTAGAAGCTCCACTTCGGTGAACAACATGACAATAAGAAGGGCTACAGATTCAAGGAGTGAATATCATAGTATCACAGAGGTGGGTCTTCCATGTGTGCATCGAATTTTGTATTGAATGTAAGCCTTTATTATCAACATATGAGGGTTGTGTACTA